CTTTGTTTCTCTGAAGTTAAAGTACAAGAACGAAGAAGTATGTGGCGAACCCCCATGTTCCGTGAAGAGATTTAAATAATATCCAATGTTTCACAAGATTTGATACAGGTATTTAAAACAAACCAACAACTAATGTTAAAACATCACTTGATTTGTTTGAAATATATTTCAATAGCATTTAAGAAGAAATACATGTCTTTATGTGTGAAAAAAAATGTATAAAATTTCCAGTATCAATAGAAATGCCGGTTTTATCGTGTACTGGTATAATTTTCATAGCTTGGTTTTGAAAATATGAACATTTTAAATAAATGATTTGATAAGATCGTATTGATTTCACGTGGGTGAAGATTTGAAAATACAGAAACGACGTTCTGTTTAACTTGAACGTGTGTTTATTTCCAGATATAAGGATTTAATGTTAAAAAAGAAGTAAATTTTATTTCAAAATTTATATTGCAAATTGTCGAATTTATGTACCCTCCTCTCCCTCCAAAAAATTAAAATACGTATCGAAAATCGTAGATATTAGTATTGTAAAACTATACTTAATTGTAACAAATATCTTAATGGAACTTATAAGAGAAATCAAACGTACCTATCAAATCTCCTCTTTTAGTGCCCTTAATTGAAGCCCCTTTAAGGAGTCCAGTCTCCTTTTGGTTACAACTTCATCCTTTTTGGACACTTAGATGTATATTCTGTTACGAGGAGACGAATATTGATCAGGTTTTGGACAGTTTTTGTCTTCGTGTTTCGGCGGTTTGTATCGTCTATAGTCCCAGTGATTGATCGTGAATATACACTCATTGTAAATCCATTGTTGTCCATTTAAAGATTCTTTTTAATTAACATCTATAGTCATTAGATTCATGACTTAGTTAATATACAATATAGCTTGCGACTGATGAGACGATATAGACATAATTTAACGATAGGCGGTTTTGGTGGACATTTAACAGTTTTGTTTCCAGCGAAGCCAGGATTTTATCACAGAATTTTTAAAGTTCTGTTTAAAAGTTATCTTTAATACTCTGAACTTCAAAAAAGCAAACACCTTAAACAATGTATATTTCCTAAAATGTATCAGAGATTGGCGTCTTGATACTCTTTGGTCGCAATATTCAAAATTTTATTTGTATTTTTTCAAACAATATGCTCTGCATGATGCGTTTAATTTATAATATTTTTGCAAAATGCTATTATGCAATGTCAAAAAAGAAAAACAAATGATTGCTGTGCATAGACGTCTGTTTTGAAATGTGAAACTGACTTTTTACAACCTTCCAAAATACAAATGTAAAAGAGGAAAGCTTAATTTTTTTTCAAAATCCGCAATAAAGGATATTAATCTTCCAGATATCGCTGTGGTTTAAATTTGAATTTGCTATATAAATTTTTTTTTTTAATACACAAAACTCCTTCTACTACTTTTGACATGTTTTTGATTTCTTCACATTTAAGCAACTTTAGATTGTTATTTATTAAGTGTCCAGCTCTTTTTTTGAAAGGATTTGGTTCAAAAAATATAAAATAAAATAAAATGAACCTTTTTATATTTTAATTACTATGAATAATTGTTATTTGTGGCTAAATTTATCTCAAATAATGCCGAAAAATAGAATTTCTTTATCAGTCATATGTTTTATTATTTTGAATTGTTAAATGTGGAAAATGACTGATTGATTTATATATTGAACGATTAACTGATGGTCATATAGATAAGAGCTAATCTATAACAAATGTTTGGGTTTAAAATTGTCAATTGCTAGATAGTGTTTTACAAATATTTAAAACTTTTCAGATTGTGAATCTAATTTTGTGAAAAGATAGTTTCATTTTTAAGAGTTATACAACAAACGAAGGATTGATTTTTAATGCTTGAAATGTCAAAATAAAAAAATGTTTCGGGGAAGAGTTACAAACCACAAAGTCCTTGATGTACTAAAGGTCAGAAACAAGACAGAGTCATTTCTTTTAAACACTATTTTTTAATTTAAGGCTATCTAATTTCATATCTCTGACCCTTATCTCCCTGATGTTAGTTTTGAGAAAAAAAGGTAAATTCACAAATCACCGACTTCTAGATAGATAACACGCTTTTCTGGCTTGAAGAATATATTGAGGAAGGTATGTGTTGACTGGTGAAACTAGAGCATGGAATGATAACATGAAACTCTTGCTCCCTTTTTTTCTCTTCAAAATTCATAGAAATCACATGGGAAATACGAATCATTTCTGATTTTCTTTCTTTAATGGATATTAGAATGTATTTTGCTATGCCTGTAAACATTGTTATTTACCATTTTATGGCTTATTTTAGAGGGAACAATTAGAGCAAACTCTTAACAAGTTAATGCCATATATATTAAATAAATGTATCACTGATACTGAAAAGGAAACGTTTACATTGAAGAACTACACGTAACAGGTGAATTGGAGTAAATATCATTCAGTAATTTCAATTAGAAGTCCATTATTTACGGCATCTTGTCCTATATAAATCTAATGTTTTAAGTATTTGTCAATTCCAAAGTTTAATATTATTTTTCAACCTCGTCAAATATAAATTTGATTTAGTCTTTTAATACATTGAACATTTCATTCTATATATTTCAAAATAAAATATAAAAATTGAAATCTTATGATAAACTCCTAGTCATGCTGCAGTTTGTATTCAAATGTGGAATTTTATCAATTTTCTCTTTTAAATTGAATTATTGGATTACTGTGCAACAATATTTTCGAGAGGTGGTGTAATGAAATATGAAGATAACGAACAGTATTCAACAGAGATGTGGATACTTAAAAATTCCAAGGAACTTTTGGAAAATTTGAAATCACAGAATTTTACCAAAAACTACAACATAAAAACTTACGACTTTTCAACTTTATAAACAACCATTCCCCACGATAAATTAAAGTCCAGGCTTTTTGATATCATTGACTCCTGCTTTTTCAATAAAAAATGGAACTCGTAAATTTACTTACCTTGACACTAGTCATTTGCAAAATTATTTTGTTAAAAAACATTCTGATTGTACACACAAGTTCTCTGAAGTTGATATTAAAAAGATTCTTGAGTTTCTGATTGACAATGTCTATGTGGTTTTTGGAGACCAGGTCTTCCAACAATCTATTGGAATTCCCATGGGTACCAATTGCGCCCCGTTATTAGCAGACCTATTTTTGAATTCTTATGAAGCAGAATTGTGTAAAATCTTATACGTGAGAAGAAGAAAACGCTTGCTGTGGCCTTCAACTCGACATTTAGATATATCGGCGACGCATTTGTCGATTAACAATGGTTATTTCCATCCTTATATCGATACGATATATCCCGGTGAGCTTGAAATAAAGATACCACAGAGTCTGACACATCTGTTTTATATTTAGATATTTTACTAGAAAAAGACGTTAATGGTAATCTAACAACCAAGCTTTATGATAAACTTGATGACTTTATCTTTTCAATCGTCAACTTCCCTTACTTATGCAGCAATACACCTTCATCACCTGCATACGGGGTTTATATCTCTCAGTTGATTCGATATGCAAGAGCATGCTCTGCGTATGAACAATTTCTAAAAGGAGGTAAGTTATTGACAAACAAGTTGATGAAAAAAGAATATCAGCAGTCTCGTTTAATGTCGTCATTTCGGAAGTTCTATGGTCGATACAATGACCTCGTCAGCAAATACAATTTATCATGAAGTCAAATGCTGACTGACGTTTTTCATACTAATTGTCTACGGATTTTTTCGCTATTTCTCGATTTCTCACACGGCGGGTTTGACCGGTCGACAGGGGATACTCACTCCTCCATGGTACCTGATCTCACCTCTGATGTTTTAGAGGTCCGTGTTTGCTCTGCTCCAAAATTTATATTGTTTAATGGACTTTTGAGCTTGAATACTGTTCTTTATCTCAATACATTTCAAAATATCTCGTTGGTACATTCAGTGTGTATATCATTTTAAATCATCGAAGTAACTTAGTAATAGATTGTACACGTGTTTGTAGAATACTAGTAGTAAGTATTTGTAAATCAAGAGAATATTTTTACAAATTAATTGGAAATTAAATATCTTCCATCACTGAGGTAGCATTGAAGGAACACCTACATGGGTTCTACATAGTATTGGTATTTTAATCATTGATAAAGCATAGTATATTTAATTAACTAAAAACTATTAATAAGTAATTATAACAGATCTAGATATCACTTGTTCAAACATGTAGTTTTGTATTTTTTGAAATATCTTTTATTACTGAGGTTGCATTAAATTCAAAGTTATAAAACCTATCTATATGCACATGTAATAACGATATTGGATTGTACTTGAAATTTTTATTGGTGTATCAATTAAAAATCACTACAATGATGCTGAATTCTATCTGGAATTATGGGCGATGTTTTTATATATCCGTTATCCGTATAAACTAATAAAATGCATGAATATATCTACAATGCAATATTTTTACTACAAAGATGTTAAAATAATACATACATGTATGAATTTTGAGTGTTCTTTTTAAAACACAATCATATATCTATTACACATGGATGGCGAAGACGTTTTATAATACTTAAATGGAGACAATATTATGAAAATGAATTTTAGTGTTACTTTTAAATTAATTATTATATACCCTTGGTATATCGATGATGTAGACATATATAATGTTGTGACATTACAATTCTTTATTTTGATATGTATACTATTGAACATTTTCAATCATTACAATATCAATGATTTGAAAGTGCAAGCAAATTTGTATTAAAACTGAAAATTAAAATAAGTATGACCTTAAGATTATTATACTAATATATGAAAAATACAACTATTTGGAATACGAAGAACCAGAACCAAAAATCTACACACTTCTGTATCCAGTAGTGTAATGTATCCTACCAATGCTTCGTTGACTCACTATCTCAAAAGCGATGAACTACCTGCCCCCTCCCTTGTTTATACGTTTATATAACCACCTAATCTTAGCATCGGCTTCGTCAATCAATCTGGCACTACTGTGTGAGGGGGAGACGGAAGGATTCTACTGCTCATGATTCCATCCAGCCTGAAGGTCGTCACTCGTGCTTACAGAAAAGGTCAGTGATTAAAGAGTAATTAATTCAATCCATAATCACTAAAAATTAGTCTTTGATCAATATGATATTAACTGTTGATATTGAAGATTAAAGAGTGTTTTGTTTTTTAAATCATACTTTGCTAATATTGATTTTAAGTCTGTTACTCAAACAGATTTTTTCTTGTCTTTCTCTTTAATTAGGAAAATTTATTTTACACACAAAATACATGAATATAAATTTTGTGTTTATATAGCAATGCAGACTGGAGGCTATTCCAATCTCGAATCTCGTTTGATTGTATATAGTGATTACAATTCTATTACATGTAGATTAAAATAATCCAATTTTGTTTCCAATTATGAATTAAGTTATATTTGTCATTTAGTGAAATAAACATGGATGATTTTATTTACATGTATTGTATCAGGTGAAACGGCCAAGATTTTCCTGCGCCGCGGGAAAACCCACGAATTTTATGTGATGCAAGGTTTTTGCCTCAGACATTATAATACCTGACATTAAATTTTATTTATTTATTTTTTTATATAAAACGAATGTGAATTAAACATTTTAAGTTACGTTCTTGCAAAACTGAAGAAATGTATAATGTATAAAACTGTACTTTCAAAGCAGTACTTTTTGGGGCACAGGAAAAGAGAATGTTTTTGTGAGTAGTAAATGTCATGTTCCCCTTACTTTAACAATCTCTGGAATGTACTGTCCAAACTGTATTCCGAATTCTTCCTGGTATTGGACAAGACCATCTCCGCAAATAAATCAAAGACACATCCTGACTAAGCGGGAAAAGTTGATCCTAAAAATCATAAACAATTGTCTTCTAATTTTATAGCCCCTACCTCACCCCCCTTCAGCTGTATTGCTTTCAAAATTATTAGAGTAATTTTTTTTCTTTCATTGTATTATCAGTTGCATTTTGTGAGTTTTAGTACAAGTTAAGGTATTTATATTTACAATTAAATAGAACCAAATCTGCAAAGAATATATCGGAGGAAATTAAGCCTAGTTATCACCAAGTGAATCATTTATCTTTTTCCTTGGATTGACCGCTGTGATTGTGGTCGAGAATTGACGAGAATCGCGGATCTTGTTTAAAGATTTGACATGCTCCCACCAAAAAACACGCGGGGTTCCGACCATCTTCCGATATGTTCTGACACCGACTTGTATCTTTAGATTTTAGTAGTTTTTTGTGCTTTTCGTTTAGGAAAAGAGAATTAATGTCTTTGAACGAAACAAAACTGTCGGAGAAATACAACATTGTTTTGCTAGTTAAATTGTCGCTACTTTTCCAAAAGCTGAATTATTTATTAAACATGTATTTAATTTTTTTTTCAATATTTCTTACTTGCTTGGTCTAAATGTATAATTAATATGTACCCATCATTTTTAATCCTTAAAAATAAATTATATGGCTTATATTTCAAAGAGAACCATGGTATGGTAAATGCACGTATTTTCATCCCCCGCTTATCCAGAGACGAATCTCATATACGCTTATACGTCGATCTCTGGCTTATCAAACTTCTTATATTAATTAACAGACACGCAGCATTGCCAAAAACATAAATTTATGAGCAAGAATTTGACAACTTAGATTTTTCCATTGATTGCTTCAGATGAAAATAACTATGATTATTTTACTGTTGAAATATACAGATTTTTATCATTTGTTTGAAATAAGCATCTCAGATATGGCTAACTTCCTGTAATCTACACGAACTGTTTTGATATAAGTATATATATAATGACGCAAGAGATATCTCTTTATTTGCAAAACTGATAGATCGACACGATTTTTTTGGTGAGATTTTACATACTTTCCAAGTAAAAATGCATTAATGCCTATAGATTATTACAAGAGATTTATTACAGGTGCTACAGTTTTAAAACCATAAAGACAATTAAGATAAGTAGCGACACATTGTCATATTCTCTGAATTGAGGAATACTTCATGTGTAGCTGCATAGGTTACCTAGATTTATTTTAATAAACATCCCATAGAATATTCCAGTAGAAGGGTTTAGAAATACTTAATCAGCGGAATTTTCTAAATATACTTTTCTTAACCTTCGTAAATCTTGGCCGAACTCAGAAAAATCGCATTATGCTTATGTAGCAACAGAGAAAATAGATATGGATACGACCACGAAAGTTCTAATTCTGGTTGAAAACAACGTATCTTGAAAGACAATTAACAAGACTTAAAAAAAATGTGAAATTATTTATTTATTTATTTATTTATTTTATTTGCAAGCATTTTACTACATCATTTACTAATGTATGGGTCTTTCATTATTCTAACAATAATGAGAAAGAAAATCTTCTTGTTTCTTTTCTGCAGTGTTTGTTTAATTAGTATTATACGTGAACAGTGTATATTTGTAGGGAAAGGACTAAAATAGGCTTTGCCTGCTGCCTAATCCCATTCAATTTTTGTGAATAAATTTATGTATCAAAAAAGGGGGAAAAAAGAAAATCTAACTCATAAGCTCGGTATATAAACATGCAAAATGATACGAAGTTAGGTATTTATTACACTTTAAAGGTGTGTTTATATTCTGTTGGATGGCAAACATACACTACTTATTCACAAATTTATTGTCAAATATTTAGTCTCTCCTTCTGTTAGCCGATCAAAACATATGCTAAATGTGGAGGCAACAAAATAAGCAAAATGTGTAACCACAAACCCAATCATTCGGGCACCTGTTACTGCAGCATGTGTTTGATGAGTCTAGATTTTTACTGCATGTTCAAATGTGTGTGTTCTTATGTTCAAATAAGAAAGGGCATCTTATCGTAATTGCATCGCCATTATCAATTTACGAAATATCAGAGGGGCGGATATGGTATATTTCATGTACAACAACCCGATGAGCAGATGAATAAATATTGATATATCTCATCCACTGGTCGTTATCTGAAAGAATTCTATGAAATTAAACATTCTGAGAACATACACAAATAAATCATATACTGTGTGTCTTCTAATCATTGGAAGTCAAAGAATTTAGGTTTTTTAGCGATGTTTAGGTTGTTAGCTACACATTTCCAAGAATGACAGCTGATTCTGCAGGTATCGACTGTGTGGATTTGATGTGATATAGGCTTTTCCTTAAAATTTCTTTAAAGAACATTGCTAAAAAAAAAAAATCCCATCTGTAATATCGATCATTTCACCATGAATTTTTCCATCCTGTGAATAGCACTCGTTCATCAAAAATGCCAGACTTGTACTTCAAGTTGCAATTAATATTTAAGCTGTTTGTGTATAACAAACTTATTTTGACTTATGCCATTTTTTTTTTACTGAATAAATTTCATAAAATATCTTCAGTTTTTAAGTTTTTTATAAGCTGAATCAGATTTAATTTAATCTGGCACATTGTCTGGTCTTAGATAATGGATTGCCAATTTCCTACGAAGCCCTTTTTTTTTTTAATTTTGTTTGCATCACTTCATCTTTTTTATTTTGTTTGCATCACTTAATTCCTGTTTTGAAAACTTACCGTGTTACACAGTATTTGTAGTTAAGAATAATAAAATTGTTCTCGCAAATAATAGGAAAAATCATATTTAAAAAGAAATCGACATATGCCTCAAGATTCCTAATCGTTTTTGTATTTCAATGATCATATTATAGTAATAGAAATTCCCTGAGAAATGCATAAGTACATGTACCTAGTTTCGCAATGTTGAGTTACCTATAAACTGTCCGGGCGGCAGTGAATTACAAAATTTACAATCTGATCATTTTTGTTTTGTTGTATTTACTGCCACCCGGTAAATAAAAAATATAATATGACAAAAACTTCGGAAGATTTCTCAAAGTTTAAACTTTTTTAGTGTATATATTTAAGATGATTTTTTAGTGAGGACTAGAGAATACGCTTTATCGTTTTTTTTTTTTTAAATATTTTTCCTATCTTAACAAATTACTAACCTTTGAGATATTATCGTTTTAATCTTTGATACATTTACACTTAACATTGAAAAAATATACTTTATCATTTGGCCAGTAAACATTTTATAAGTTTAATAAAGACAAAGTTTTCTTATGCTCACTTTATTTCCAAGAATAAGACTCCGAGATCTTTAGAACCGGATGTGCATTGTTGTTTCGGAAGATAAGTATGCACGGGGTCCCTCTAATCCTGCATTATCAGCCTACTGTCGACCACGTGCAGCGCTGCACCAGAGTTGGTGATCCCGGTAGATTGCACGTTTCTTTTTGTAGCTACGAACTAAGTATATGTTACTTATGTTTACCAAGGCTCTCTCTCTCTATATATATAACATTCATTGTCCCACCTATGTGTGCTTTTCTTCCCAAGCAACTCCACTCACCATTTATTTAAGAATAGCCTAAGAGTTATCCTGCAGTGCCAGAACTTTAGTTTTAATTTAAGGTGGATATATCTCAAATCTACCTCGTAATGAATTGGATTTTATCAGCTGATTGCTACTTTGATTTTGGGTGAGTAGGATTAATGTTCAGTGCAACATAGTGTTCCAAAACAGCTGATCTGGCATGATAAGTTGAAAATATTGAGTCTCATCCTTTATCAAAGCATAAGTTTGATCGCTGTGCCGATCTTATTTTTCAATGTTATAAAACTGACTTTTTGGGAGCTTTATGAAAATATCAGGTACATTTTCCATCTGTCGTAAAGACTACAGATTATTTGTAAGATTAACAAAAGGAATTTTTGCAAACACGTGTTTATGAAAGTTAACCGATTTTTTTTCCGTAATCTTACTTTTTAACAGTTAAGCTGATAACAGATAATTATTTTGTACCTCATCAATAGATTGAATGGAATCTGTTTGAAGTTTTTGGATTAGAGATAAAAAATTAAGATGCCCCTTTATGCCTCATTGACTTCTTAGTAAAAGATAAAAGTATTAACTGGTTTTTCTTCCCCGCTGACGCTTTCCCTCTGTTTCCGTAAGAATGGCATCTGGTCATATAATGTAACATGAATTATTGTGTTTGCACAACTCGACTGGGTTTTTTTTAGTCAGCATAAAAAAGCGAAGGATGTGTTCAATTTTTTTCCCCCAAAAACGTGACAGTTAAAAATATATTTAATTCTCACTAGAAGAATACTAAATTTACCTTTCTAATAACGAAATTTATATGAATTGGCGAGATTCCATTCAGCTGTCTGTATTGTTCTGTAATGAAGGGAATGACTCAGCAATTGGTGGCATCAATTGTTTGTATACATGTATTCTGAAAATCACCACCGCTATAACAGAGAAATGTATTATGGAAAGACACTGTCCACGACAACAATATAGATAAACGGTTTTCATTTAATATGGCTTTATTGATGTATCAGTACCTTTAGCATTTAGAATCTGGCAATAATTACTTCCAAGATAAAACAATATTATGAAATATCAAAATATAAGGTATTCTACATGCGGAATTAACATTAAGTAGTTCATAGATGTGACTTGAAACACAACTATGAATCCCAAATTAATTAGCTTCCCTTTTCATTATATTTTCCTCTTTTCCATTGTCATTTTTCTTTTCGTCTCAAAAATAAATTATCATATCCGTATAGGAAAATGTTCACTGTAAGGGATTTACAATATACTGTAACCGAGTCTTCCTGTATTTCGATTTCGTCAGCATGCACGCATTATAACTGCATATCTTAAATGCTCCTTCCATGTTATCAAAAAATTATTATATACATTCTAAATTATAAAGAAACTTTCTTATTTCTGTTTTGTCTTCCTATGTACTTTATTCTTCAGCTTTGCTGATGGTATAGATTCGCCATATGTTGATAAATACATTGCATCTCTCATCAAAGCCTTATAGTAAGCGTTCACCTGACACAAACAATATCTCTCTGATCAATCTATCGACACGGCCTACGTTTTCTTACCTACAGTGAGCAACTTACTTTCCTGTATCCTCCAATACCTGGCAGGTTTGCAATACCTGTGGTTATACTGATGGGGTTCTCACCAAAGGTTTCTATAAACACATCCATCTTTTATGCTGTTGTTTGTGTATTTTGTTTCCTCGTGACTGTATCTTTAACTAATGACATTTGTACGTAGATTTTCTTGGAAATCTATGAAATGAAGTACAACTTTTTCACCATTTCTGAGTTCATTGTTAAGATCATGCCTTCACATTTTAGTTTGATAATTAAGGTACATTGTAAGGTACAGATACGTCTTTTAGCAGGAGAACGCCATTGTAGCAATTTGGTCTTTATTCAGTTTAAGATGTGGTGACACGATATCCGGAGCAGCAACAATTGTGCAATGTAACATTTTTACATATGAATGTTTTTCCTGTACAAACTCAGTCATAATGTATACAGTTCAATAGAAATACAAGTTATATAGGTAATTTTGTACTTATAATGAGAAGTAATTAATTACTGGAAGATTCATGTTTCCCTACCTATACCCTGTAGTACACATAATCTAGACAGAATACACTTATCAAGTTGTGCCATACGCCTGAGAGATTTCCTTTCTGGAACCATTCTCAGATTCTTTGTTACATGGCTAATTTACATCAAAAGTAAGCCAAGGAAGAGAGATCAAGTGATAGCTTAAGATGATTTGCAAGTTCTGTTTTAACATGATGAGCTTTAAATATCTTGACACCCGAAATTTTATTGAGCAAGCAGAAATTGCTGATGAGGGCAATTAAGATCAGGTGCGCGCTGTAGGAGTGATGTAAGAAATTTGTTTCGTTCGCTTTGGTTTAAAAAAATTGACGTGTGGGTGCTTAAAACAAATATAATGCAACACTAAATTGGTGTTATATATACATACTTACATTCAAAAATTTAATTCTTTTCTAAATTACTTTTTCGTGTTATTAACTTTTATCTAAATTACGCTTTATAGTATTCTAAGATTATGTATGAGTACTAATTTTGGTGATTAAATGTTAAATTTTAGATTATTTTCATGGGTTTGAAACAGATTTACTTCTATCTTTCAGGTCACATCACAAGTGATAATGGTATCCCATCTTTCATTTGATTAAAACACAGGAAAAAGCACGTTGTAACAGCGTTTGCCAAGTCGTAATTTACAAAAAGGTGCCCTCTACCGCAGCTACGTTCACTCCTGAATGAAATACTACACAGATCTTCAAAATGTTTGATGCTGTTCGGATGCGATGCATATCATCTAAAAAATGGAAATGACAAGGAAATAACTTTCAAAATAGCATCGATCACTATTTTTGAAAAAAGCTAAAAAGATTATGATTGCTGATTACAGTGAAACGGATACCATGGAAATGACGCATCTTTTATAAATTTCATGCCTTATGGTGACCCTGCTGTTCGGTTTATCAAAACTGCTCTTCGGGAACTCTTGACTTATTAATATGATAGAGAGATGTAAGGAGATAAAGGATCAGCTTCGGTATCAGAATTGCCTGAAAAAAAAACTACACTCACCCAAAATCTGCTGGAGGCGGCACTTAAGTGACGTCAGAAAATGTAAAACTGGTATTTTCAGATTTTGAATGATTTTATCAGAACTGATAGTTATTCAAAGTTTATTGATATTGTCAAGCCTGTCAGAAAACAGCTTCGTAAGAACAATGTAAAAGCAATGTGAATATTTCTTCTGAACCACTTGCGCGAAAGGATCAATTAAACAAAGAGAAAAATGGCCACCAATATGAAGCTGATGCAGGAAATTAGTGACCAATTCCTTCATTGTAAAATATGTTTGGAACCATATAAAAGTCCGAAAACACTTACTTGCTTACATACGTTTTGTTCAGAATGCATTCAACAACATGTGGATTCGGAAAACACGCGTTCTCGATACTCTTTATATAACCGCCACGTCACTTGTCCCCTATGCCGCAAACGAACAGAAATTCCTACAGGTGGAGTTAGACGTCTTCCAGATAATTTCCTTTTGGCCAACCTGACAGAAGTAATTGACAGAAAAAGACCACTGAAAATCCCACCATGTGAAATTTGTCATACTGTTAGACCAAGAAGTAATGATGCATGTTCAAAGTGCCTAGACTGTTCAAAATTACTATGCAAGGCTTGTGTTGAGTTACATTTAACAACAAAAGTCACACAAAATCATAGCTTGATTGATGTTGAGGGAGAAAAAGATATTGAATGTAAAGTTCATCCAGACGAAATAGTACGATTTTACTGTGAACCCTGTGATGCTTGCATTTGTGTTGTTTGCACTTTTCAGGAACATCGGGACCATGAAATATGTTCATTCAGCGAAGGATACTCAAAATATAAATCCTCAATGGAGTCATTGTTGAATAATTGCAGAAGTAGATACGAGGTTGTCCAAGATCGAATTACTATTATGAATCAATGCGAAACAATTTTGAAGGAGACGAGAGAAAATATAAGAGACTTGGCTATAAGTTATATTCAACAAGTGCGATCCACCGAAAAAGAGCTGCTGAAAGAAGTTGAGTCTTATTTTGGTGAAAACATCATGTCTTTTCTTGAAAATAAAGACTGGCTCCAAGAAAACTTGGACGGGCTACAAAATGCATGTAACTTGACAGATATTATAATGAGGGACAAAGGTGTCGAAATGCTACTATTAAAGAAAGAGATGCAGAACAAACTGGTATCGCTTTTGGAACCAACTCTACCTGAACCTCCAGAGGATGTAACCAATTTCACAACCAAAATTAGATTCATTCCAGGTGGAATAAAATTTGGAAGGCTCACCTTTAATGAAAACTCCGATGAAAATGAAAATTCAGAATATTCAATGGATCTACAAAAAAATTCATTTGGATGCCAGACAGACGACTCTGCAAATGAAGAATGTGCCAAACGTTCAAAAGAAAGTAGTATACAAAGCTTCTCCGAAACTAGTTCTGTGGCATCTGAAATGGAAATCAGTTATACTTCAGAAGTAGCAAATTACTATGGACATAAAATGGGCTCACAAAGTAGTCTTCGATCACTGACACCAGTGCCAACGGTTGACGCGTGTATGCAAACCTTTTCAAACGTTGGCTCTAAAGGTTCCGGTATTTGTGTGAAATGTTGTCAAGATTTACAATCTGAGATCAACATTGCATCATCAAATTACAACACGGCCCCTTGTGTTCAAGATGTCATCGTTCTTGATTCGGCAGAGGGAAATCCCAAAGAATGGCGTAGGAGAAGACGAAGTTTGATACGAAGTAGGCGAGTTCAGACTGATCTTTCTATGTCGAATGAAAGTGTGGACGAAATGAGTCTCTCTGTGCCAAACTTGCGACATATACCAGAAAGAAGCCTTTCATGTGATGCAATGACAAGCATGCATAAGCGAGAAACAAGAACGATAGCTCTCGATCCGATTATTTTAGAATGTATCAATGAAAGGAAACAGAAGATATCTACTCGAGACACAACGACAATGACAACTATGGAAATGAAACCAGTCGTGCCAACTAGAAATGCTTCAACGTTCACCAATGCACCTCGTACACGAGACTCAGAAATGCAAACCAAAGTAGAAAACAAAACGTGTGATACACAAACTCCGAAAGTGATCCAGTCTACTAAGAATGTTGGAACCGATTATGCCGGACAGACAGATAAAGGCACGGCTACAGTTAAAGTCTCTCTTATGGATAGTGAAACCACCATGCCGACGATCTGTCATTCTTCTGTTGAGACCTGGACAGATCCACCATCGACAACTGACAGGTCAACTTTTACTGTAGTTTGTAACACAGCAGATGCAGTTACGGAAATGACGCCAATTTCTGTCTCAGATCAGGGTTTGCAAGTAAAGCCTAACCAAAGGGACATGACCACTTTAACGCAACCGAGAAATATGTTAAACTCATGTATTCAGACTGATCACTGGGAACCATCCGGTTCATCTGAAAATAGAAAGTCTTGGCATGGTGGTCTACTGAAACTGTTCAAGGGAAAAGGATCTGTAGACAGTCGCGGTTCAAATGACAGGCTTTCCAGTCAATCGAGTTTGACAGAAATGTTACCACCTTTGAGTCCCACAATGGTAGAAGCAAGCACAGAGACGTGCTCTGCTGTGTTTTCAGATAAAGAAACAAACACTACTAAGTCAATAAGTACAGACCAGTGGACTGAAACGAATAATCCTGTTTTGGTCAGTACAGGCATATCCCCTCCTCGACCGGCAACAATAGATTCTAGTGTGGAGACGAACCCTCTAGTACTGATGGACCAAGCGACGCATACAGAAACTGTCAAGTTGAAAGACTCATCCACAGAGACCACACTTGTTGTTCAAGATAATGAAACATTGACCGAAAGATTAAAGTGCCAGGATGCTCAAACATTTGTAGATTTAATGATGGAATCAAAAGAAACAAGCACCGATATAAAACAAATCGTTGATTCCAGTGTAGGTACATCTGATATGCTACGAGAAAGTAGATCTCTAACGGACATGTACCTAGGAAAATGTTCAACTCCTAAGCACAAGTCAACAAACGTAAGCTTAGAAGAATTCGTACAAAGGGTTGATACGGCGACAAATCCCTCTCCACCCGATGTACACGACCGTGGCACCATGGCGATGTCATTTGGACAGTCTTCTCAAATGTTCACAGAAACTTCAACACAAACATCAATGGTCAATCTCTTCGACAAGTCAATAGGTACTTCGCGTGATTTCGAACAAAGACCTATTGAATTTTGCGACATGGCTACATCAACAGAATCACTACCGTACATTGGTTTATTGAGTGAATTAGAGGGAGACGAACTCTTTCTTATTCCTGAATCTGCATTCGACCTTGTGTCTTCAGAGCCATCTATAGACGAATTTGGTGATCCAATTGAAATGGTGGATGATTATACATCAACAGATTTTGCTCCAGATACCGAGACAGCCACGCAGACGTTCGTTATTCCCATTCCTCAGACAAATGATGTCGATCTCAATGAATCAGAAGTGTGGAAGCACTCGAAAAGGAAAGACAAGGAGGGAAAGGAGCTAATTGATGTATGTACTAACACTCTACCAAAATTGACATTTGAAAAGGAAACGTCCACACCAATTCGGCACCTATTTTCGAAAGGGACAATGACATTTTACATTGCAAAATCTGATAAAGCTACAAGTACATTCAGCAGTTCTAGACAGATAGCCGAGAATGTTTTCGGGAATAAGACAATACATGATACAGCAAATAAGCTTACCATGACTCCCAAGATAGAGGTAACTGATGCAGCCACCCTTACAGAAACGAACTCTGTTGCGGAAGGGAAAATGGCGGCTTGTATCTCAAAATTACAAAAGGTATCAGAGCGATTACAAAGTCCTACTCAGAAAAATATGCCGGATGTCCCTTGGAAAAGCTCATCAGATGATCAGTTATCATCCAAAGAGGGCTTAAACGATGTTGTTGATGCTACAGAGCAAGAGCGACAGAGAAATGTTCAACAATTAATAGCACAATCTAACAATGTTGGGAAAGCAAAGAAGGGGGACAGAAAACCACAACCAATAACAACCTTGAAAGGAAAGACACTGTTACCCCCAGAAGAGTCCATCGATAAAACTAATATTCATCCACGTGATGGAGAGGGAAGTGAGACAATATTAACTGGAAACACAAGCATCAGCAATCAAATGTCTCGATATAATTCAGCTCCAGGAAAAATTGCGACGGTACCAAACAAGAAATATAAGATTAGTCAGAAGCAACATAATAAATCCCCAAGCCGTATTCCTGTTCACAAAGGTAGTAACACTTCGTTAGATAAAACGCCTGTTGTAAAACCAAAATTCCCAAAAGTTACAGGTTCTTCGAGACCTTCCTCAACAGAGTCCGAATCAACGGCGTCATTTATTTCGTGCAACTCAGATAGTTCGTTTATTTCGAATGATGCCAAAATGGACTTTTCCTCTTTGAAAATTGATCCTAGTCAAACTCCCTCTTCTCTTCCAAGGGAAAAAGAGAAGGTGGAAGAAGATTCGGCAAAGAAACACCAATCTCAGAAAAAAGTTAGCTCTTCTAACGTGAGCTTTATGCAAAAACTCTTCTCGAAGAAGAAAAAGTATCCCGATCCTATTAAAAATCTACCAAATACGCATGGTAAAGAGCCAAAACAGCTTCCAAAAAAGAATCCTTCTCCAGAAAAGGAACCGACAAAACCACAGAAATCGAAACCTTTCGTGTACATTCGACAGAAGTACATGTCAATAGAACATGAAAATGAAGAAGAACAGCCCGGAAGTGAAGCATCAGGGGGATACCCTAGACCCGTGTCTCCGTCCTCAAAGAAGGGCCGTCCCGCAAAAAGTGAAATAGAAAAGACAACACCAAAGTTAACCACAAAGCGGTCTCAATCGAATCGGAAATCTAGACCGAAATCTAAAGAGATAAAACAGGACGGAGGAAGCAGTAATTCAGATGTACGCCCATTGTCCTCTTATGATAATCTGTGAAAGTCGCGATAAAGCAACAGATACAATGTTTTATCAGAATGTTCTTTATAGAACAAAATTTTAAGTTTACACTGTTTGTAAAGTGTAAAACTTTTTTATAATTTCATTTTATAGCTACATAGACATGTATAATTCACAATTTATTGTCATACACTTTCAGGTAGTAATTGTCAGGTAGTTGATAGAATCCGTCCTCAGATTTTCAGTATGGATATACGTACAGTTGTAATTTGTATGATTTATTTATCATCTTTACATGACAGAAACAAAATCCACGTAAAGCACCTTCTTATACAAATTTACATATACTCACTTGTAGATTTCATATGCACATCCGTTTATACAGGACAAAACAAGAAAATATTATTTATAATCCATGAAAAAACCATCGACAATTTTTTTTTAGTTGCTGGAAAATATAAGCTTATCTTCAATTTTAATTTGCTAACTTAAGATTCTGTATTCCTCGAAACACCTCTTGTGTATACTTATTTCTGTACAAAAGTATTACTTACCCCTGTCATCTCAGTGCAATATTGTATAGACTGTGTACAAAATTTACAGAAAATGCATTATGAAATTGCTGAAATAAAATCATAAAAGGATTTTTTCATGTCATATTTTATCTTAAAGTGGATCTATTGCAATCAAAATAGATCAACTTTATGCTGCTTTTTCTTTCACAAATCAAGATCATTTTTATTTCAAATAATCCAGTCCCCCGTCATTTACGATGTAAAAAAATATTGTCAAATCCTTAGAAATCCTTAGAAGGGAAAAAATAGTTTACTGATGTTGGACATGTGTAATATTGTTACATATATCAAAGTTAAGAATGAATAATTTTAAATAAATTCTAATTGTATTTAGATATTTCTACATGTAATTCATTATGGATATCTATAGACACATACGGGAGAGAGAGAAGTACTCTCAGATCTAGCCTGGCAAAGCGGAATAACCCTTACAATTTATTTCAGGCTCTCAGAAAGCAGTTTAAAGCTGACATGAATTCTTAAAAACGCAACATTTGCATCAATGTACGACTTGTTTCATACCAACTATTCCGCCATATTTCTTTCAGATACCTTGTCTTATTGTAACGATATATACCCAATTGCCCTCGTTACACTTGAGTGAATTTTTGGTTTGGCTATCGACGCGTGCACATATCCGATAGTAAAGTATTTGGGAACACATGAATTGATGAAAACATTTTAAAACCAGAACAGATAAAAACAGTCATAGTGATAATTATGAATAATTATCGTTTTGAATAACATAAATGCAAGTTTGAAAGAAAAAACATAGTTGCGCGTGTTTTTTAAAAGCATACCAATATATGCACAATAAACTTGAAATAATACACAGTAAAACTCGTACAAACAATTTGCAATAATCTATCGTAAGAATGGAACAAACCACCACTTCACCAGCATATTTCCTATGCATGTCCATATGCATTCAAATACAACTGATGCATATCGAGAGAACACGTCGAACACTGTAAACTTATTCATACCTGGAAATAGACCACTGTACCCGTTCGAAGATGTGCACATGCCGGATAATTTACACCTTGTATTCCATTTATTGAAATATGCATCACAAAAAGTAATAAACTCCATAAATAATCAACAGTAAACACATTGTCACTTCATCGTACAGCCTAGCACTCGAATACGCTTAGTCCGTGCTGATCAGATTTTGGTCAGGGAAAATATCAAAAGTAAAAAAGGGAATTAGTATTAGCGCGACTGGGTAAAAAATAAGAAATCACTAAAAAAAAGTTTGATTGCTGATTATCTGAAAACTTAACTGAGTAATTTGGTGTAAAAAATGATTTAGAACACGACATGAGAGCATTTAACCAGAACACAAATTAACAAATATACACATACGGGGGGGGGGGGGGGGTACTCCCTTTTTTTCAGAGTGTCTTTCAGGCACGTAGCATCTAAGAAATAATTCACACTTTACCTGAAAAATCTTTGACAAGCAAAAAAAATTAATAATAAAAATTATGATAATTATGGATGGGGAGGGGCAACTTTTTCAAGGATTTGACTATAGTGCAACAAAAAGTGGAGGAGATCAGCCTTTGAGTGTGTATCTCATACTAAACAGTAAAACATTATGCTCGGAAAAAGGGGGCATCCCCCACCCACGTGTTCGACAGGGATTTTTTTTTATTTTAAGACTGGCTCCCCCCCCCCAACTCTAATCCAACATTATTGTACATTGTACTCAAATATTTTTCTGCTGAAAATGATAGTATGAATAGAATCTGTCCCTCCCCTGACTACGGATTTTTGTAAATGCCTGTTTTCCTTCTTCATTCCCCCCAATTTTTAAGTGCCTAAAGTTTTTCGTTTGCTTGTCAATCATTTTACTGTCCCCGCTCCCCCTCGCATACAAACATTTTGAGAAACGGTGCTACGTGCCTGTTTTATATGCATGTATAGAAAGTCTTTTCAGATTGGAGAGTTTCCGCAGGTAGTCTAAAATTGGGTATCTATTCAATTTCTTGTATTTTGAGAAAATCTTAAAAGATAGTGTAAGGATTACTTAAAACCTAAACCGCAAAGTTATAGATAAATATTTTTTGCATTTTCATACAAGTATACTCTCTCTCTTATATGTAAGCATCCATACATGTACATATGTAAGAGTAATAATGCATATAAAATCCGATGTAGTAAAAATCTTGGAAAAGATATAGTCTTTAAAAGGGCAGATTGAGGAATTTTTCTGGGGCAGGGTGGATCAAACCTGCTGAAAAAAATTGTTTCCTTTTTTTGACAAGCCAAAAAAAAAAGGGAAAAGAAAAGAAGAAAAAAAAACCTACATACCCAAACGAAAAGGGAACAAAACAATTGTGAAAACTATATTTCACGGGAATGGAAACATGTGGACCCTTCTCGTGTACTTTTCAGAGGAAACAAATTCAGTTTTTTTGTTTCTTTATACCTCCGAAGAGCACAGAGGGTTCCTACCAGAAATTTTTTAGACAAGAAAAAAAAATCAAAATCAAAAAAAAACTTGTGTGTGTGTGTGTGTGTGGGGGGGGGGGCACTGTCAGGGGCACATTGTTTTCCTTTCCTATAAACTTTGACTATTAATTATATAATATTTAAAGAAATAATACACATGCACGCAACCATATTTTAATCATTCAGTCACATCACAAAATTTCTTTAAATATCTAAAACGTGTAAATATGTGTAGTTGTTAAAAAAAAACTTATGTAATGTAATAATTAGTACTTTTGCATCGCCTCGTGATATCTTTGGCAATGCGCTCGAAGATTGTTGAATCACGCCACTTCACATTTGGGTACACGGTAGAACTATTTCAATTATCAATATTACTTTGACATATACTAATAGTGTAATACTTACTCAACTTCAATATATACAAAAATATGTACTGTAGATTATTTTATATACACATAATTATGTCTGTGCTTGTTGGTAATTGTATCAATCGTGCTTGTAATTCGTGACGCCTAAAAGGGCCCTGATTTGAAAATCTCTACAGAAACAAATTGTTCAGTGTGTGTTAATTTAAGATATATCAGTTTTATATCTAAAATAGTTGAGGCCAGTTCATTGAAAGTATTTAAATATATTTGATCAAGGAAAATCCGACCTTTTTCCGACTTTTGTTTAAAATATATTGAAAAATGTATTCTACATATCCCCCCCTTTCATTTTCTTTAAAAGATGTAAGATCCGTAACAAGAATGTATGTTTATGTAATAAATTTGTTGTAATAAAGCCACATTCATGAACATATTTACTACATGCACTGACAACAGTTAGTTCGATTTCTGAAACGTTTTATTTGCGTGACTATATTGTCTAATCAGGCAAAAAACACTGTCATTTCCACCTTCGATATTTTCCCTGACCAAAAATGCTGATCGGCAGGGACCACGTGTGTTCAAGTGCTAGTGACAATTTGTTTACCGTTGAGTTATAAATGGAGTTATTTCTTCTGTGATGCATATTTCAATAAAAGGAAAATAGGAAGTAATTCTTTCGACATGTGCACATCCTTGTAGCGAGCTCTGTATTTCAGGCAGATGAGTATAAAGCGTTCGACGCGTTTTCTCGGCATGCATGCATGCATGTATTACTTCAAGGCGTAAGTTGCATAGTATGTGCTTATACCGTGTAGCATGCATAAAGCTCAACAGTACAGTGGGGTTTTTTTTTGGAAAAAAATACATGTGGTCGCTTCTTTATTGTTCAGATATATATGTAATGTATATCAAACATGCATTTGCCGTTTTGATTTTTATGCATTGCATCAAAATTATTCAAAATTTATATATCCTTTCCAGTTTTCAGTAAAATTCCCAGTTTTGGTAGGATTGTTAGATTTATTGCATGTTCCAAAACTGCTTTATCGGAGATACGGGCCTACGTTTTCGGTCAGTTCATGACGTGTTCCAAAACTTTGCTATCGGAGATGTGTACATGCCGACAGCCAGGCTAGAAAATCACTCAAGTGTAAAAAAGGCATCAGGGTTTATATAGCCAGTAAAATAAGTGAGCGAATCTGAAAGAAATATGGCGGAAAAGGGAGTGCGGGAATGAAATAAGTCGTACAAGGATGAAAATATCACATTTTTAAGAGTTCATGTCAGCTTTAAGGTGGAGGGGGAGATACAACTTAAATAATTTTTACAGGCAAAAACAAGGTCATCGGATGTTTATTTGGAGGGACACAACCGTAAATTAGCTTTGGTTTCTATCATACAGTATATACTGGCAGACTTATTTATGGACATGGAAGTAGGTTTTTCAGTTTTAATAAAGGAAAAAATGAAAGAAACAAAAAGCTGCTGACCCGTGACATTATGTTGCAAAGTATAGACTAGCTAAATTATTCCGGGGGGGGGGGGGGGGGTCCTACAGGCCTGATGCTGGATTCAAATTTGAACTCGGTGCATAATGTCTTCAATGCTTAATATCTGAGGGGAATATTAAGTGTAATTTTATATATTAGAAGAAAGTTCATATCGATCAGCAAAAATTGTGTGTTTCAGGAGGTAAAGCAAGTCCAAATTTCTAAATCATTTTCGGCTGCTGACCCTTTTCTACAGAAATTGTTTATTAATCAATGATGTAATTATTTGTAAAAATGGCTTTTTTACTATTGATAAACTTTTCACAGGAAGAAAATAATTTCGAGCTAAAGATATGCTTTCAAATTGTGTAGTGACTGTCTCCCGATTTTCTTTGACTTCATTTCATAAACACATGATTATTAAAAAGCAACGATAATAAGCACATTCAACATTCCATAATATTATAAAAAAATACTTAGAAGAAGTGACGTCCTTTAAAGCTTATTAATTTAACTTAGATATACACTTTCCCCTCAATCAAACCCTTCTTCTTTTAAATTCACAATAAAATAAAATAGTTGATACATTTTATACTAGGTTTTATTTTCTGCAAAAATACAAGGTATGTGTAACCACTAAAATGATAATTAAAATAAAATTAATTAATGCTTACTCTTCTGATTTCCAAGATATTGTTCGTTAACCAAATCATTGACAGAGGTCATACATGAATCAATGAACATAATCTTTATACATGAATATGAATAGTTTATTGCGTTCTTTAGTAAATATGTGCCTTTCTATTTATCATTAAAATCATAATATACACAATCATTTTAATTATAAATAACATCTGATACGATATCATGTTTATAATTATGTAGGATGGCAATGAATTCCAACATATCCTTGTAATATTTGATATTTTAACTAAGATTTTCATTTTTATATATTTTATTCGTAGTTGCCCTTTATCATCTCAAATATGTAAGATTTGTTTACAGAATTTTACAATGTTAATAGCTTCCATTCCATTATCAGAAAGCTTTTATCAAAATTGTTAAATTATTAAAAAGTTAATTGTCTATTAAAATACTTTTACTCCATCATGCAGATATTAGTATATACATATCAATTGATTACAACACACTAAGAATACCTTGTTTTGTAAATAATTGTAAGTTACATACGTAAATAGATTTTGATATCTTAGATTCAACGACTCGTGTTCATGTATGTTTGAAAAAGTACGCTTTATACTGTTTGAAACTGGAATAGCTTAATGAATTTGGAGAAACCTTATACAAATATACAGAATCAAAGATTAAGATTCGACATCTCTGTCCATTTATCGAGTTTTTCCGCATCTACTACAGTAAAAAAAAATTGTTAAGGTTGTAACGTATGATTTGAAAGAAATGGCTTATGTATTCGACGACTGAAGTTTAGCGTGATCACGTGGCTCGAGAAAATGGAGAAGGTATTGTGTGTATTTTCTTATATATCTGATTCACTTTGACTTGGTTTTTTGGGTTTGAATTTTTATTCAGCAACTCATTCTTATAAACGGCATGTTTACACTTTAAGCTACAATTTAGTATATATATATATATATATATATACAGAGAGAGAGAGAGAGAGAGAGAGAGAGAGAGAGAGAGAGAGAGAGAATTTACGCATTGCTATAAACATACTGTAAGATGAATACAAGTATGCTTTTAGAATTGTATCTAAAATTTTGAAATGAATGGGAAATTAAGTCTTTTATGTATGTTTTCGAAACAATATACAAACATATAATACTAAGTAAATTATCATAACAGCTTTCATATCTATTTTTCATTTGTTTCTGTTTCATTAAAGATGATAATGATAAGCTAAAAAATGTTGTCTTTACATTTTCTCATCTAGATATTGACGAAATTACTGAAAGAAATCTTCATTTACTTAAGTGTCTGTGGTATGTATAATTGTTCTGTCTTTAAAGATTAAACATATTTGTTTACCTGCTTCATTCAAGAAGTATTTTATATATATATATATATATATATATATATATATATATATATATATATATATATATATATATATATATATATATATATATATATATATATATATATATATTGTAAGTATTATACTCGCTTCATTCAAGCGGTTTTATACATCAGAATGTAAAAGTCTGTTGCAATGGAGGTAAAGGTTTTTCTGAACTAACTCCGCCCAAATCATGTTAATTTGATGTAAAAGGCCTAATTTGCTCCCATTATTTGTGTTGTAACATATGAATTTCATTTCCCTCAAGGAATATATCAATGAATTTCTTATATCTATACGGCTAGAGGAAAATCATAGTATAATACGTTACCTTGAAGGAGTGCCTTTATTTCTACCTTTACAGCATTAGTATCACTGGCATCAGATACCTGTACGTCTACGTCCTGTCGTAATGGTGGCTACTGCGAGGACGGAAGATGTGTATGTCCGGACGGGTTTTACGGAATTAGCTGTGAAGGTTTAGTACTTTTAACTTCTATCACCTTTAAAAGTGAAGCATGGTTCTTTGGAACACTAAAACATTAGGTACTTTAAACTTCTATCACCTTTGAAAGTGATGCATGATTCTTTGGAACACTCAAAAATTAAATCATATTAATTGAATATTGCCTGTCAGTGAACGTGCATTGTATTACTTATCTATCCTATCATACTTTCATAAGATGGGTAACTATTCTTTTGTGTTTCTTTCTTTAATGGAGTAGTCATTCTGCTGTTTCTCTCTTGAAGTCCAAAAATTCATAAAGAAAGTGTAGCCCTCTCCGAGACTATTCCTGTCATATTACCTTTTCAAGTACTCATCTATTCGGTATATACTATGAAACCATGAGGGGAGAAAAATTATTTATTAATACTTTATGTATTAAATATTTTGTTTTGTAAAAACGTAGATCAGTGTGATGGTCCAGATTCTTGCAACAATCACGGTGCATGCCTAGGGCTTCCTAGGAAGTGTGAATGTGATATCGGATATCAGCTTACAGGTTACTACGGGAAACATTGTGAAGGTGATATGTCAATTTCTTTTATGCCCCCGTAATCGAAGATTCGAGGGCATATAATTTTTGCCCTGTCCGTCTGTCTGTCTGTTTGTCTGTTTGTCCGCAAAAACTTTAATATTCCCAATAACTTTTGATTGGTTGGAGCTATGGCTTTCATATTTCACTTGTGTATTCCTTGTAACAAGACCTGTCTTTGGCTGTCATCATATTTGACCTGTTTTGCAAAATTTTACCTGACTCTAACCTTGACCATAACTTTTGAACAGTTGGTGCAAGGGCTTTCATACTTCACATTTGTAATCCTTGTGAGAAGACCTTCCTTTGGATGCCAACAACTTTGACCCTTTAGCCTTGATCTTGGAGTTTGACCTACTTTTGAAAAACTTTAACCTTGGCCATAACTTTTGAAGAGTTGGTGCCAGGGCTTTCATACTTCACATGTGTATTTCTAGTTACAGGACCTTCCTTTGAATTCCAATAATTATAGTCCATTGACCTTGACATCGGAGTTTGTTCTACTTTTTAGAAAATGTTAACCTTGGCCATTACTTTTGTACAATTGGTGCTAGGGCTTTCTTACTTTTCATATGTAATGCTTTTGACAAGCCCTTCCTTTGGATAAGAACAACTTTGTCCCTTTGACCTTGACCTTGGAGTTTGACCTACGTTTGAAAAATTTTAACCTTGGCCATAATTTTTGAACAGTTGGTGCTAGGGCCTTCATTCTTCACATATGTAATCCTTGTGACAAGACCTTACTTTGGATACCAATATTTTTTACCCTTTGACCTTGGCCTTATAGTTTTACCTACTTTTAAAAAAACTTTAACCTTGGCCATAACTTTTGAAATGCTGGTACTAGGGCTTTCATATTTTACATGTGTATTTCTTGTGCGAAGGTCTTCCCTTGGGCTACGTTAATTTTCACCATTTGACCTTGACCTTGGTGTTTGACTTACTTTTGAAAACCTTCAACCTTTTCCATATCTTTTCAATGGTTGCTGCTAGGGCTTTCATATTTCACAGGTATATTCCTCAAGACAAGACCTTACTTTGGGCACCAACATATTTGATTTGTATTTGAAAAAGTTTAACCTTTGCTATAAGTTGCCGTACAGGGGTATCTGTGATTCACAAACACATCTTTTTTTGATAATTTATTAAAAAAAACAAATGTCAACTGATCAGTTCTTTTTAATGCTGAACAGCAGCTGTTGTTGTGTTAAAAAATGCATAGCTGTATTCTATGCAGTTCTATAATTATTTAGATTCATGTCACCCCTCAGTGAATGGTTCCTGTGGATTTGCGGGCACCTGTTCTGGGACACCGCATAGGTGCATCTGTAAACCAGGGTTCCATGGACCCTGGTGTGTAGGTAAGAATAGATAACATTCATTCCATATATATATATATATATATATATATATATATATATATATATATATATATATATATATATATATATATATATATATAGATAGATATATATATATATATATATATATATATATACATGTATATATATATATATATATATATATATATATATATATATATATATATATATATATATATATATATATACGAATGTTTTCTATTTAATTTTTTGGGTTAAGCAACATCAAATAATGTAGTAATAATAATAAGAATTGCTATCTTACTCCAGGTGAGCCTTAACGATCTCTAATTAACTATCAGTATTATACTATAACTAATTAACCAGCGATGAAGAGATGGTGATGAGTGAATCACTATGTCAGATCCTCTGCTATCAATTCCCAAATTTATATCTTTTTTTAAACACTCGTCATAACTATTTGGTGACCTCTTCAATACCATAATGTCATATTTAGTCATATAATAATGATTATGATATAATTGGGTAAAATATGAGCTTCTTATTTTAAGGACCCGAATCTTTTCTCTTTGTGGACTCGATTTCTGTTCAATACTTTCACAAAATGGATAATGTTCCATTGAAACCAAGTTTCTGTCCGAATGCCAATATTGTTCTCTTTTTCAATAATAGATCATGACACACTTAATTTCAGAAGGCTATCAACAATCGTATCTTTTATAAGATTCCAAAGTCAATTTGTAGCCATGTAATATTCTCTCAGTAACCTTGAAAAATATGACTTTGGGTCAAGTTTCTAAGAAATCTTTGTCATAAGCGACATTTTGAGCTTCCAAGGTTTTTCACTGACAACGGGCTGGTGCCTTAATTTGTTTAACAATTAGCGACGAAACGGACAGGAAACTCACTCCCATCCATGGCTTTCTTTGTAAAATACAAATATATTTATACATTTAAGTATGTTGTTGATAGCATGCACACTAGACAGTCACTGTAAACATGGCGGAAAATGTAATGATGACGGAACATGTCATTGTAAGAAAGTGATACCAGAAATCAGAGGCCTGCACTGTGAAGGTACGAAATATAGTTTAGCCGATTACAGAAATATGCACAAATTTTTCCACAAATTATTCGTTAATTTAAAATAAATGAATAGTTTTATTTAAGACTTTAGACAAAGTACAGTTATATTTTGTATGAATAACTCGTTGACATTATTTTACCATTTATAACCCAGAGGTGTGTATAAAAGATTCTGATTGTATGAACGCTGGGAAATGTTTACCTAATAAAACATGTAAATGTACGAAATTTGAGGACGGATTCCGATGCATCTCCTCGGGTAATAACTCTTGTGTTTGGCATTTTATTTATATATCAATATGTAAAATCATATACACAAACATTTTGCACCGGACAAATCTGTTTCTGAATTCCCAACTTATAAACCTATCTATTTCGATATATCTATTTTATTACTAATTCAATTATTACTTAATTTTTTTTACAGCTGCTGATAAACCCATTTTTTCAACTTTTGCAATGACTCTGTCTCTCATCGCCATTAAAGATTTTGTATAAAATATAAAAAAGTAGTTTGACTTTTTATTTTACTTTCTGTTTCTCAAATTAAATCATAATGAGCAATTAAAATTATTCAAAGATATTTTTTAAACATCAAAATTTATGGAATAAAAATGTATCGAACTAAAAAGTTTTTGCAATTTTGTGTTTCGACAGATTTGGTGATAAACAATTGACATGAAGGTTCTCCTCGTAACATTCCAATCCAAGGAAAAAAATTTTAATACACCGAGTGTATGATATGGTGATCACATCATTATTCATATATACCATTCGATCATACATTAAAATGCCCTTTTGTCATTTAATGACTGGTCACTTGGCCACTTTGAATTTGTGTACAATGTATTGCAAAGATTTTCACTGACTGATATTGATCTTTGAACTCTTAACAATAATAGATCAAAAGATTTTTTTTCCCTTTTACCTACAGCAAATTTAGTATAAGATTTAAAGTGTGAAATAGACTTTATTTTGTGTCCGCGAAATTGTTTCATATAATTTGGATTCTAAATTAATAGGCTTCAGTTCTATTGACCAACCAGCCTGTCCTTCTCTATTTTGTAACATTTCTATTATGTTGGTCCGCCATTACAAGCTATTGAGAATTACTTTTATTATTGACTGCAATTTTTATGCACTTAGTTTTCATCAGCTTTGTGATTTAAGTATATGTCATATCTAACAAAAATGATACTAGTATGTTCCTGTGATAATTTTAATACAAAATCAAGTACCGAAATAAGCAATTCTATATATCCATTTTTTTATGTACACTTCTATGAAATATGGAGATAACGAACAGTATTCAAGCTCAAAGTTCATTGAAACAATTCAGGAGCAGAGTAAACACGGACCTCCAAAAACATTAGAGATGGAATCAGGTGCCATGGAGGAGTGAACATCCCCTGCCGACCGGTCACACCCGCCATGTGCTCCTTGTCATGATCGTTAAATAACACAAAAATCCGTCGACAATTTAGTGTGTAAATAATGGTCTAACAATTAAAATAAAAACAAGCAGTACTGTGTTTATCTTTTTGTATAGGTACTGTGTACGTTTAATGTGTGATTTAAATCTAAAAATCTTTTCATTTCTTCAAATCTTTCTTTAAATTTGAGAAAATTTTCTGACATATCTGTTCGCCTATAAAAATTTGGAACATTTTCAAAAACTTTAATCAGTCTTTGCAATTCAGAACATCCTTCGCCATATGTTCTAAATAGTTCCTCTCTGTTCCTTAAAGAAAAATGGGCTTCGAGTAAAATTCTGTATGAATGGTATAAACTTTGATTTGTAGATGTCTGTTGAATGAAATTGTCTTTTCGAAGAAGAGCCTTCTTCAATATTTTGACTACCTTTCCATTCTCTCCGAGAGCTAGGAGAACGTCTGCGTATAAACAATATAATTTCACCATAAAACTATCATCTTCGCATGTTTTCAATTTAAGGTCGATGGCCCTTCGTAAATGTTTACTTGCTTCAAAATATTCATGTGCTTTGAAATAACATTTCCCTTTTGTTTTTAATAACAAGACCTTGACGTCATCAAAAAGCCCGGGAAATCCTTGTAGACGAGTTAGCGCTTGATCCAACAGTGTAATGGCTTCACTATAGTCTCCTTTTGCTAAAATAGTCTCCGCAAGATCTCTTTCAGAGAGAGCTATGTCTTTCACTGGAGCTCCTGTTGATATCTTTATTTCTAGACCTTGTCGTTGATAGTCGAGTGCTGTATTAATGTCACCCTTTCTTAAGAACATACAGCCCATATTGTTTAGTGTAGACCCCATTATTGGGTGATTTTTAGTACCAATGGCTTTTAATCTTCTTTTGTAACATTCAACCTGAAATTGTTCACCCTTTTCTATATCGTCTGAAAAAAAAGATTCCAAAGGTAAAAATATATGCTCAGCAAAAAAGGTTAACTTCCTACATCCAATCATAATACTTAAAATTATTTTTTTTAACTTCTATTACCTGAAAAAATGTAGAACAAGGCCAAAGATTGTAGGGTCTGTAAAATTAATCTTTCAGAGTACATTCCTAGATCTTGTTCAACACAATAGGCCTCTCTTAGGTACCTAAACGAAAATCATATTTTTCCTACATAATGGAACCTTAGAGATAAAAATGTTAACAAGAATTTGATGTTTGAATTCTTTTTTTTAAAAAGATACTTTAAAGCAGCCTTGTATTTTCCTTGCATTCCGAGATTCCATCCATAGCTCTGAAGAAGAAAGGCCAGATGATAATCACGAGTTTTGGGATAACGTTTCCTTTTATCTAATGCTCGCTGATACATCTCAGCACCTTCAGTTAGGTCTCCCTGTAGAAATATGTTATAGGTGTTAGATTTTATACTTTGCCTTGGAACAATTTATATAAATAATTTAATGAAAAAAAATACTTGAACAAGAACTAATAATTAATTTATAATGCATTGATCACTGAATAAATTTCCAGATAATAAGGGATGTAAAAGAAATATTTTGTCAACTTCTTCCTAATAATAACTTTTTTTTTCAAAATTGCAATTACTAAATAAATCTTTAGGAAAAAGAGAAATGATATCAAAGTTTTAAAATTGATGAGATACATTTTAGGTATTAGTAAATTCACTATGTGCCAAGATTGTTTTCAATCTTCTTTAACACCGTGCTGATAATATTTTACCGTAATATTTGTTAGAACTCGTCCATATCCTGATAGTACTCTAGATTCATCTAGTTCTTGTCCAAACAACCTGGTTCTTTCCAGACAATGGCCAAAAAATTCAATCATTGCTTCTGTTGGTAAGTAAAATAATCTACATATGTAAGGTTATACGACAATTTTGAAATAGAAATCGAATACCATATTACACTCTTACGATATAATGTCATTGTTTTCAACAGGACCCTCCCTATGGTAAGCGTGGTGGCTAATTCTACAAACACGTGATAATAGTCCGATGTACAATGGATCACCTCTTTGAATAGCTTCCAGATATTACCATATTCTACACTAAACTGACTCATAGCCCAACAGTAATCTTCAGTGCTGGATCTTGATTCAATCTCTTGTAAAATCTTTGAAAAAGTGTCACAAAATCTCTTTCGTACCCCTAAAATTTAAGAAGTGGAAATGTACTTAATTTTAGAAATTCTTGTAATATTATCGTATATATTTCAGTTTGAAAGCTTAAGAAATATCACGTGCTTAAGATAATGACTGGTATATTTACTTGGTAAATGCTTTATTTTAATGAATTCTTTCACACAATCTCTCAATATCCCATGGATGTCGTATCTATTAGCACGTTCACTCTTAAAAATCAGATGATGCTGAGTACAGCTACGTAGAGTATTATTAATGTTGACATTGCTATCACCTATATGAAATGGAAAAGATGTACAGGTACACCTATATCGATATTTTCATTCATAAAAAGATCTTCAGAGATACAAATTGGAATTATGAAAAGATATGTCTCAGACACCGTGTGATTGACAACGTTATGTTTAAAAAAAGAACAAAATGATGGTTTACCATGTTTAAAAGATTTAAGAGTGGACACATGTAAGCTAAATTTGTCTACCTGGAATATAAAGTTTTGATTTCAGAAAAAAAATCAGTCCCTTCAAATAACAGAAAATGTTCGTACCCAAAATGCTGGAAGCCTCATACTCGTTAAACGTCCCTGGAATATAATTAAGTGTTGATAGTGCTTCTTGTAATGGTTCAGATATCTTATTTAGAAATTCTCGGTAGGTGGATTCTGCAATAAAAGAACAAGTAGCATTTTAACTATTTACTTTCATTCAGTAAGACCGTCACGTAGCTCAGTCAGTAGAGCACTCGCCCCATGATCGAAAGGTCGTGGGTTAAACTCGGGGACTGAAAAAATAGGTAGCAACTATTCCTTCGCCAAGCTCGAAGTTGAGAGTCTTTTGGATTAGACCTTAAAACCGAGGCCCCATGTCACTGCAGTCGTTGGCACGATAAAGATTCCTCACTGCTCAATGGACCCGAATGTAGAAGTAGAGGTTTATACGTGAGGCCCTTCACCGGTATATTGTGACATCTTTATATGAGTGAAAAATTCTCGAATAGAACGTAAAATAGCATAAATCAACATTCATTCAAACTTATTTATCAACATCTATTCCAACTGTAAAAAATAAAATACCAAAATCAAATAATTATGTGTTTGTCTAATTTTTATATGTCATGATATTTTATTTGCTGGTATTTTGTAGTATTTGTCTTCAGTTCCGTGGGTAATGCTTTTTTTCACTTTTAAAACAAACGCATTTAAAGATTGTGCGATATGAAATACCGAAATCCATTCTTTGTATTGTGTCAACGACTGTAAAAATGTTACCTATCTGATCATCCTTAGGAAAATACTCTTGACTTAATACTTTAAGTCTTGAGTGAGTAAGAAGAATGGCCAAATCTTCTGGTGTAAGTAATGCACTTTGTAATTCTAATCCTACTATCTGAAGAGCAAGTGGAATCCCTTCACACAATTCGATAATTTTTGGTATAAAATAATTATCCTCTGTAGAAGGACAAATAGTTCTGAGAAGTGCATGAGCATCAGTGTATGGTAAGGGTTTTAAAGGTAGCTCCGTTAACTGTTCATTCATCTCGGCAGGAGAGACTGTTGATGTTATCAAGATCGTCACGCCTGGTAATTTGGAAATAGAAGTCAAAGTGGAAATGGATCTTGAATCAGCACATATTTCTTCTGCATTATCTAATACTAACAGAATTTCGATTTCCTTTCTTCTACAAATTGTTCTTCGGGTACATGCTAAATGGACATTACTAGTATTTAATGAATCGCTTTTCCAATTGCTATTATCAATTGATGGTTTATTTATTTCACGGTTCTTGGTTCTTTTGATATCTTCCATTTCTGATTCTATCATTTGAACCAGTTGTAAAGGATGTTCCTCTCTCCGCCGAACATCGATAAAAGTATGATCTATATTTTCACAAAATTGTTTTACAAAAGATGATTTTCCTATTCCTTTCAATCCATGAATCACAATCAAATCAGAAAAACAGCACAATTCTCTTAATTCTCCTAACTCCCTCTGTCTACCCACAAAGATCGCCATTCTTCTGTATCAACTTTAAGTCAAGTCATATGCTGTCGTTATGTAATCGAGTGTAACAACTCAAGCAGACACTCTTAATCGCAAGATTTTGTATAAAAGTATTGAAAACACTATATACTTCCTAGTTAGGTCATCTCATTTCCGTGAACGATACATATTTTATTACTTAAAAATACTTGACCCTGAACCATCGGTTGAGAATAAAGAGAAGTTATTTCCTTGTTGAAGCATTTCCTTTTTTTTATTTTTTTTTTGGTATGAATCTGCTCTTCCTGTGAATAAAGAAAAATAGATTATTACAACCTATAGGTACCAAACCTTTGCAATACAAGGTTTAATATATTTATTTATGACTATATAACCTATTATATTCGAAATGTAAACCCATGTTTGAGGCTATCTTACTATTTGTTTTTTTTTTAATATCTATGATCAAAGGAGTTCGCAATTTTATCAATAAGGTTGGTGGAAGTCGCTCGATTGATCGGGCCATGAGCTGTGCGTTAGCATATGCTTATACGATGAAATTGCGAACTCCTGTGCTATGATGGCTACAGTAAGACGATACCACTGTTTTCTGTAACAGCCTGAACAATATGGGATAAGCAAATACAAAATGATACATGCGTGACCAGAAGTAGTTATAGATTAAACTTCAAAAATAGATTTATATATATATATATATATATTAAATTTCATTACAACGTGTATCGGTAACGATCCTCTAATAAAACTTATATCCAAATAACTGTATCTCATTTCCATTCTCAATGACCGTGTAGTGTAGAGCAGCGCGGCGAGAATTCCATCGGCATCGAAAGCAAGTTTTTTGACTTGCCTAGATAGCCGAGCGGTCTAGCGCGCTGTTCCTTTACTGCTAGGAGACAGATTCCGTAGGTCGAGAGTTCAACCCCGGGCTGGGGCGGAAGTGGGTATCCTTATAAAAGTGAATTTCTTTGTGCTTTCTATATATATATATATATATATATATATATATATATATATATATATTGTAAACATTTATCCTTAATTCTCATTATATCGCAGGTTCTACGAGACGGCCAAAGGAGACATGGAGAAGAACTGTCCTCAAAGACCTGAAGTGCAGAGGTCTGACCATGGAGACAGCACCACGAGCAGCTGCAGACCGAGCCAGATGGAAATCTCTTGTAGCCGCCTCAAGCACCTGATGGCGCAGAGAGGACTGAGTGGAGTTGAGTTGCTTTTCCTGTGAAAGCAATTGACTTTCAATAATTACAAATGTTCAGTTTTAATGAGTACATCATAAATTAAACTTAACAATCGAGGACACAACTACTCGCTTGTAAAATGAACATTTCTTCAGAGAATTCACATTGTAAAAAGTCGTAATTATCATCAATTAATTTTTATATCTGATGAGAGAATGTTCCGAAAGTGAAGAAAACAATAACTTTTAATGCTTAGCATGGAAATGGAGGAAGAACACGTTTATGAGACTTTGGGGGGGGGGTCTCACTTTTCCTGATATTACCCTGTCCACGATTTGTTTTGTTGATGAAATTGCTCACTTTTTCGTTATCATCAACGTTTTCATTTCAAATTCTTAAATTTAAGGGAAATATGTGCATGTTCATCTGCGTACAATAGATTGACACAGAGGTTCGTGTGGTTTAACAAATTGATTGCTTGTGTGTTGTTTTCACGTCCATTTCTAGAATTTTTCACTCACAATACACCGGTGAAGGACTTCAAATTTAGACATTTACTTGGCACTTAGGGCCATTCAGCAGTGAGGGATCTTCATCTGCCAACGCTTACCGTGACACGGGGCCTCTGTTTTTTTTTCCAGGTCTCATCCGAAAGACCTGCAACTTTCAGAGTGCCGAGCACTTGGCGAAGGAATAGTTGCTACCTTTTTATATCTTCCTAGGTCTGTCGCGGCTAGGGCTTGAACCTACAACCTTCTGATCAAGGAGCGAGCATTAAGAGAAGAGTTTTGGGATCCAGCTCTGTCAAAGAAATAGGGCCTTTATCATTAACGTACGATATGTTGTCTTGCTCTACAATGCAAAGCCATTTTTGTAATATTTTGATATATATTTTCCAAAGAAAAGGAACATTTATACCTTAAATTATACTCTGTACAAACACATTTAATAAATTTACGCTGAATTTTTGAAAATAAAGTTCAACGTCTTGTCTCCCATCTTTAGAAAAGAATGAATGAAACAGCAAATAGCTTTCCTACAAGTCCTAATAAGTTCAATTAATGCAAATAATCTTTGCGCTGATAATTTCCTCAACATCTCAAAAATATTATGTTTTGCCTTAATGTTTTGCGATCGATGTTTTGAATCAACAAAGACTAGATGATATGTATCATAAATGCAACAAGATTTTAAAGTATTCATTCTTTCCAGAAAACTTAAACTCCAGAGAGTTAATACGATTTATAAAACAATCTTTCAGAAAACCTCATTAAAATGACCTTTATTTCATAAATGCACTTCAAATTCTCAATTATTTTCATGAAATAAAACGAAATTAATTTGCAGCTTGGATTTTGACCTTTTTGTATTCAATGAACCCCACATTTACAAAATAATATTGGAAGCTGGAGTTCAAACTACACTTATTTGAAAATTCTTAATACGTTACATATTGTATTGTTGTTGTACAACTGATAGAGTCATTCATATTTGCATAAGTATTTAAATGAGAAATGTCCACATTTTGTTTTTGTTTTTGTTTGTTTGTTTTTGTGTGTGTGTGGGTGTGTGTGTGTGTGTGTGTTTAAATTACAGCAAATCTATAGTAAACATTAATTTCAAGTTAAAACTAATTTTGTTATATTGTTAATAACTGTTCATGCATTTCTTTCAAATATAATTATAAACTTTTTATATATCGCACGCCATGCACGCATTCAATTTAAAGAAATACATTCTATTTCAAGAAAGGTTATGTAAACAGCAAGTTATTACCCTTTTTGTTTATTTCCTATATTCTATTTATAAGTGAAGTTATTCTGATTTGTTATATTCCAAAACAAATGCCTGACAAAAAAGTCCAGTTTGCATGGTTAAATCTTTAAGAAATTTGTCAGTGCAACTGCATGGTTTGAATTTGTTGATAAAATATCTTAATCTTTTGTATGCATATTGATTTTTAAGATAACAAACGACAGACACGAAATAATGTGCCTCCTTTATCAACTCGAATCAAGTTAGTTTTAATCAGAAAAGGCATTCAAAGACGAAGAAAGATAAACGGCTTTTAAATGACATTCTGTATGGAAATTATGGCAAACACATATTTGTAAGTATATATTTTTTTCTGTAAAATCATAGTATAATATTTTGTGTTCGTTCTTTGTTTTGATGCTTGGCATCATTTAAATTACATTCTGTAATGCATACTCATTTATATACTGAGAAAAATGTTTGGTAAATTAGTGTATCGATCTATTCTAGTTTTAATTACGATGCATCTCTCTCTCTCTCTCTCTCTCTCTCTCTCTCACACACACACACACACACACACACACACACACACACACACACACACACCCTAACACACAGCACACACACACACACACAATCAGATAATTATAAATCACAAACTGCATTGAATATCAACTTTTTTATATTTTTAGATAAGAAATAACATGAAGGCGTAAGTATTTGGCTGCGTTAATAAGATAAAGAAAACTTACATTTTCATTAATAATACCACGAGAAATATAAAATAAAAATGCATATTTTTAATTTTGAGACAATCAGACCATTCCGCATTTCCATCATTCCTCTTTATGATCAAATTTGCTTTTTTGTCACTGACTTTCCTAGGTTCTTCAAGGAAACTGAGATATTGAATACCTTAAATAAAAGATACTTAGACGATAGCAATTACAATGGAGAGAATTTCCTGGCGTGGAAAGAAGAATTAATGAAATTTCTTCAATCTAGGGTACTCAACAATAGTTCTATAGAAGAGGATTTTGACTATCTTCGGAGGAATAGACTATTAAATACGGGATTTTTGATAGATGTTTTAAAACATGTTGACCTAAAAGCTGTCGGATACGTTCAACAGTATCGTTGGCATAGGAGAATTCAACGTAAGGGCATATTATTTGTCAATAATTTTCAGGAGTCTTTTCTAATTAGATATCATTGGTCAATGTACTCTTTTCTTTATTTTGCAGGTGAAATTGAAATTCGAAAACAAAAGCAAAATTGAAGAGAAAGTAACACACATTTTGTGAATTGATTCAAACACCATCACGTGATATGTGTGATAGTTGAAACAATGTACTCATCTACGGATGACTTATGTTGTGCTCTCGAAGGAGACATATTAAGTTGTAACATACTTTTAGTAAATTAATACAAATATTGAAATCATCACGTGGTTTGTGGAACATTTAGACAGGGTACTCGCATACAAATGATGGTGATAGGAATAAACATGTAAATTAATTTTAATATAATCTGTAAATGATACCGTGAAATTTAATTTACTATACTTTCTTGTTACAACATATGCTAAATAGAAGAAATGACGCCGAGGACTAGATAAGCTAAGACCCTCTTTGGCCCCTGATTTGTGGTGTCTCGAGGAGCAATGCTATAGTTCATCAGTACTAACCTGTTGTCATCCCTCCTACAAAATGAGTATTGATTCTAAGTTATGGGTAACAGCAAGGTCACAGGAAGGTCACAAAATATGTCAATTTCCGAATTTTCTCATTTTTATGCAAATTTCATCAATTTTAGAGCACATTTTGTTTCTAAAAACACAGAGCACAAGCTTGTCTATCTACCATATGCACTAGTACCAAATGCTTCTTGTGTATAAAAATCTCAGATAGGCAAGCTTGTGCTCTATGTTAACCACAGTGAAAAATTATCTCAAATTTGACAGAATTCCATCAGAATTGAGAAAATTCGGAAAATATCCAACTTGGCACCCTCTTGTGACCTCCTTGTACTCTTTCAATCAAAATTATTGCTGGTTTTAAAACAAGCAACATTTAAACTTCTTAACAATCACAATTTTAAGTGTGTTTTGATTTTTACATCAAATAAGGGGGCCAAATTTGGCTCTAACCATCCCTTGTCCTTTATTTAAAAAAAAAAACAAAAAAAAAACATGTTCAATCGATTTGAAATAAATTTAATTTGCATAGTGCATACACCAAATTCTCCATGGCCATGATTTTATCTTCTCTTTTCATAGTTGGAGACATAACTCCTCTTAAATTGCACCGCCTTACCAAACATAGTTAAAAATTTACTACTTGAAAGACATTTTCTATCACTGATTCTTTGAAATGGGAATAGAATACACAAAACAACTCGCGTCCATTCCATTCACAAGACATGGCATTTTTTGATTTTTTTAAAATTTATTTATTTAATTTTTCATTCATTTTTAAAAATCAAATATCAGAGTTTCAACCGCTGCCTTACAAAGCAAAATAACCATCGTCTTAATAATCAAAAATTAGTGCACTTATGAAATAATGAAAAAAATTGCATATTTTTATTATTTTTTATCATTCATTATTATTATTTATCATATGATGTGTTTATCATATGATTTCTTTTTTAACGCATACTGTCTCAAACTTGATTAATAAAGTCATGTCACACAGAAATACTAGATTTGGATAACAAAAATAATCAATGATCCATTTGTACAGAATACAGTGAAAATATGCCTGTGGGAGTATTTATACGCTACTTAGCTCTGAAAAAAGAACACTTTTATCCAAGTGCAATATACAAGCAATTGACTAAAGTCGTTAGCAAAAGTCTAGTGTCATAAGGCATTTAAGACATAACGCCAAGTTACCTTATCCAATAATTTAATTCTTTTGAGCACCCTGAATTTTCATCTGCTTTAAATTTGTTATATCAAACAAATTTGTGTTTACTTTGTCTTGATGCAATATATAAAATTCAGAGCACATAGTAACTTTACTATATATAAACAATAAAGAACTACATCGTCAATCAGACATAATTCTTCGGTTATTTTCGTTTTTAATTTTGCCATCATGCTTTTGTATGTGGCCCTAAATTTCCTTAAATGTTGCTCCATTTCTTCACGTCTAGGAAAGTCTCTCAGATCTTCATACACATTGATCAAGCGTTGCAACTCTCTCACGCCAGCTTCGAATGTTCTCATAACATCCACTTTACTCCTTGACTCAAAATACGCATCCATCAACAACTCGTAGCCTCGTATGATCCAAACTATTGTGGGATTGTTTCTCAACAAATCCTCTTTTAATTGAAGTCCCCAGTTTATTTCTTTTATAGCCTCCTGCAGTTTATTTAAGGCAATGGCAACTTCTGCGTAAAAACAAATTGTTTTTAGGATAGATATATCATTCACAGAACTTTCTTTCCGTAGACGTATTGCTTTTTTGAAAGCAAGATATGCCTCTTTGTGATTTTGTGTTCTCATGTATACTTTGCCCTTTGCACTCCAGATCAGAGACATTTTATCGTTGTAAAGAGACGGTATATTTTTGAACCGCTTCAAGCTATTATCCAGCATTTCCAATGCTTCTCGGGGTTGCTTACAATCTAGCAATGTTTGGGCAACGTTCACTTCAGAAATAACGATTGCTTTCACAGAGGCCTTAGTCTCCGTTTTGATAAGAAGTCCTTTTCTGTAATATTCCAGGGCCTTTTGATTTTCTCCCTTTCTTTGATACATAATTCCCATATTGTTCATAACAGATCCAATGATAGGATGCATTTCTGTACCAAGACTATGAAGTCTACGCTTTAGGACTTCTAACTGTAACGGTTCACCTTTCCAAACTTTTTCTAGTGAAAGAAATAAACCATTTTCAGTTATTTTTTGTTGTTAACATATCTCAAGTACTTTGACTTATGAAAAGTTTATGACGACATTATCATCAGGAAAGTGATCAAAAGAATAGGGGGAAACGGTTTTATCCAATGCTATATACAAATGGGAAACATTCGGGTATTGGTTTGTAAAATTCCCTCTTAAAAGATAAAGAATTATTTTTCTAATTGGACTTGGACTCGCTCTTTTTGAAGTCAAGGGAATTAGAACCAGACATTTGAGGGAGAGAGAGAGAGAGAAGGGGGTATAGCCTCTTACATTTATACCAGTTCGATAGCCATGTTACCTGATTGGTTATAGCATATTGCCAATGACTGCATGGTTTCAAGGATCAATGGTTCAAAGCGAAGCCCCAACTCTTGCTCTATTTCAAATGCCATTTCAAGGTGCCTAAAAATGACAGTCAGTTATGTGACACATTTTTTAAGAATAAAATCTATTGCTGTTGAATTAGGGAATCTCAAACGCGGTAAGACTATAGAAAAACTTCATGACATTACAAGATGTCATAGTTGAATTTCCAAATCACCATGATGGGAAGACTCATTTATTCGCCATTTAACAGAAACTTATGGTAACAATATTCAAGTCAAAATATCATAACAATAGTTGGATGGAATTTATACTCAGAAGTTACATACCCTGTAGCATCTTTATGTTTCCCTTCTGACATAAGATTCCATCCATAGCTTTGACATAGAATGGCAAGAAATTGATCACGAATTTCGGGATGACGACTTCGAATTTCAATAGCTCGACGGAATATTTTACCTGCATGTAGATAATCTCCCTGTATGAAAAAGTAAATTAAAAATCAATGGAAGTACAAAAATTAAATTGCTATTGTAATTCGATTATTTAAAAAAAAACACTGTTTTGCAAAACATATCTTAAATCTTTTTCTTTTGATTTTCCGAGGTTTTGTTTCCATTGTTTGAGAAATCCTGAAATTTTCACTTTGCTTGTCATTCATAGACTTGAAGTTTCTTCCTTAAATTCGCCTTAACCTGCACTTTTTAGAAATGTCATCATTTTTTCCTTAGATTTTCACATTTTCAAATTGAAACTTTTCATGAACAAGTTAAACAAGGAAAATTATTTTTCAAAATCTTTTCAAAAAGTTTAATGATTTTTTTTTTTGGCTAAGAATTGGAATTTAATTTCTGCGTGTGTAACATATGATTACTCCTTACTAAATTAAATCACCTTAATGTTGTTCAGGACTTTACCGTATCCTGTCAGTACTTTAGAAGTATCGATATCATTTTTGAACTCCTGTGTTTTCTTCAAGCATTCCTCATAAAACTTTATTCCAATATCTGAAAATGAATGAAGGTGACTGAATGTTTACTCATTGGACTGCTGTAGACGACAATGTAAAATATTTTGATTTTAATATAGTGTTTTTGTGCATTTCGTAAATCAAATTTTTCCCACCGTATGTCGTCATTGTTGTGAACATCATGTTTCCGTTAGGAATGCTAGTTGCTGCTAAGTCCACAAATACATAGTAAGTATCCTCTGTGCAGTAAATGACTTCAGTAAACAATTTGTTAAAGTTTTGTTGTTCCAAATTCAGTCTGCATAGAGCATCAGCATAGTCCTTTGTGTATGTTTTTTCTTGTATCTTCTTCAAAATGTTTGCAAAGGTCTTCGAAAATCGGGCACGAACACCTAAATAGAGAATTATATATAGCGCATATTGCATAATACCGTTATAAAGTATGAATTTCAATTTTTTTTAAGAATGATGGCTTGTACTTTAAATATGGTTTGGATATATTATAACATTTCATCAATCTCTGTAGTTTGGTTTACCAGGTATGTCCTTTATCATAATGTACTCATTGATACATTCCCGCAACAAATCGTGAATGTTGAACCTCTTTAAATGTAGATCCTGTGATACCAAATTGCGATAACAGAGAATCGATAGTGCTCGCTTTGATTCTTCTTCTGGACCACCTAAACCAAAGTTAAAATTTATCTTCTTTCAGGCTTTGATACATATTCTCTGAAACAACCTCAAGAATATATGTTTCAAAAATCTATGAATAGATTTAACTCTTCTGAATATTCTTCGTCCAGTGATACTGGTAGTTAAAATAATGATGGAACAAAAACAGGAAAGGTAACAAATAGTGATCAATCTCAAAAAATCTACGAAGTAAACAAATCTGTGAACAGGGCATAAAACTCGGACCCCTGGAAACACCAGAGCTGGGATCAGGTGCCTAGGAGAAGTAAGCATCCTTTTCGACAGGTCACACCCGCCGTTAGCCCTATATATTGATCAGTAATCAAATTTAGTGTAAAAATATAGGCATTACGATTGGTATAAACTTGTCAACCAATATACAATCCAATGATAGATTGCTAACAAAGTCATCTCGTTTGTCATAAAGTTTAGTTGTCCGTTGGACCTTATCGTCTATAGTCAATAAAATATCCAAGTATGAAAAAGATTCAGTAGATTCAGTGGTGTCTTTTACTTAGTTATTTAGTATACTAGGATATATCGATTCCATCTATGAATGGAAGTATTTATTGTTGATTGATAACACGTCGTCAATATATCTGAATGTCGAGCTGAAGGCCACAATAAATGCTTTCTTCCTCTCATGTAGACTTTTTAAAAATAAATTCTGCTTCAAAGAACTATAAGAAAAGTCAGCTAATAAAGGAGTTCAATTAGTGCCCATCGGAAATCTAACAGTCTGTTGAAAGACCTGGTCTCCAAAGACTATATAATTGTTGTCAATGAGAAACTCTAGCATCCTTTAGATATCAATTTCAGAGTACTTGTGTGTAGAATCAGATTGATTATTTAAGTTATTTTGTTGATGACCAATCACAATATATGAAAATATTAGCTCTATTTTTATCGATGAAACAGTTTTCTATGATATTAAATAGCATAGTTTTTAATTTCAGAGTATTCAGGGAATGGTTGTATAAATTGAGAAAAGTCGTACGTTTTGATGTGACTGGCTTTTGAAAATTTTGGTGATTTTAAATGTTCTAACGAGTTTTTAAGAATCCTCATCTGATTTACACCACATTTAAAATATGCTGTAGCGTATGTTTCTCCTAACAGCAGTTATTTTTTTGTGAGGAATTAAGATAGGGGCCTGGTAGAGTACTTGCTAGATCCGGCAATGTATCTTTGTAAGGATTTTTGCAGGTTAGGAATCCAGTATAGGTAGCGTACATCGATCTCACTTTCGTTGACTGGAATGTTAAAAGTATTAAAGACTGAAATGTGATTCTAAGGAATCTGAGAAAGAGAACTGTGAGTATAGGTTGGATTTCCAAATGTAAAAATAAATAATTTTTATTCAATTTCCTTTTAACTACCTTATGCGATTCTTTTATATTTCTTTATATTCTTTATATTTCTTTTAATAATATACTGTATTTTTATTTACTATTTCTTTAATAGTCTTTAATATCTCTAAAACACTTTATCCTTTTTAACAGATTGTTTTGCACTCTCCCCCTCTTCCATATTGAGTCTAACGTCGGGAATAATCGTCGACAGAATTCATAATAAAAATGAGGTTCTGTCGCCAATTGAAAATTTGGGGCTTCCTATATTTAGGACTTTAAGATGATTGCTTTTAGATCGTCATTTTCAACTATATTACCATCACCAGTAATGACGTGTCCAACAAGACTGTAGTCAAAAGAATAAGAGCAAGAACACTTCAGAAGATTTTGTTTCTGATTTTCAATATGTAGGCACTGCAAAATTTGTTTATAATTGAAAAGTTTGGAAGCAACAGTTTGGGAATATCTTTAGAAAATGCAAGGTGCAGAATTCAACTTAAAGTATGGTGGAATGCAGAACTGGGTTTTTTTAAAGATGGAGTGTTATAAATTTTCACAGGATCTATTCCTTTGTTGTCATATCGTAAAAATATTGACAGCCATCATTATTTTTTTCAAACCTATGTCCAACATTCTCTTATTGAGTAAACACTTTGTTTTCCCAGTATAACATGAAACTGATAAAGTCACTTCCTTTACAATTTCTTAAGCAAAATTAAGAATGATTAATTTTTCCTTTAATTGCAAAACCTATGACGGAAAACTAGATTTTGCAACGTACTGGACATAAATTCCTTTAATATTAGCTTTCCTTTTTTGTAACTTTTCCATACTACTTCAGTCCATTTTGCTTTTGGGTGTAGCTTTGAACTCTAGATTATACAAATGACACTAAGAAAAATTGAGGAAATAAAGCTTTCTAAAAAATAAATGAATAAGCTGTATACTTAGCCCTTCTCACATACTATCTGCTTTTTATGGGATTTAGAGCTTATTTTTTCTGTTAAAGAAGGGACTTTTCTTGTTTAAAAGAGGAAACTGTGTGTAAGCACTCACAAATTTGTCTTACTTATAGAATTTTATACAATGCCAAAAATTTGAAACATGTGTGAGACTAAAATGTAGATACATACACTTAAGAAATCTTCAATGCAATATGTCAGAGTGAATAGTTTGACAGTACGGGAGGGACTGTGGCTATTTTTTTTTTGTCGATTCCTTGTAGATCTCTGTTGTACAATGTATTCCAAGGAGCTTTATTAGTATGCCTTGGAGCTGGTGTAAATGATGAATGGAGTAGAGGTACAATAATTTTTGAAAAAGGTTCTACGTTACCAACGACTTCAACAGCTTCATTTTCGTCAAACGATCCAGGAATGTAATTAATCATAGCCAGATTGTCCTCTAGCTCTTTGGATACTTTAGACAGACTTTCAAGGCTCCTCTTTAGTACTGGTCCTATACTCCAACATAACAATTCGTACCTTAATTTTTAAATATTTACAGTATATAAAAGTCATATTTAAAAATTAAATTAAAACCACAATTTTAAAGCTATTCAACCGAATATAGGAAAAGAATTTTCAGTTCAATTACCCGCCATTCAAAATAGTAACTTTTACTGGAATTAAATATTTACTCACCAATTTGCTCTTCTACTGTATAACTATCTAAACTTAAGAATTTCAGTCTCAGTTTAGCATCACTGAGCAAACAAATGATATCATCAACTCCAATAGCATTCTTTTCATCTGCTAACTCTCCTCCGGCTACTAAGATTCCTAACGGAATTCCTCCGCAAAGTTGAACAATTTTTTCAATCCTTTCTTCGTCTTTTATGGAAGGGCAGATGCTTCTCAGTAATTCCTTCCCCTCAAGTAAACTAAGAGGACCTACAAACAACTCATCAAATGATAAAACTTCTGGGAAAAGTGTCGTCATGTTAACTGACGATGTCAGCAAAATCTTTGTGTTCTGTAAATGTGACAGTGAAATCAACAAATCCAGTGCAATTGCACTTTGACTCAAAACATCGTCAGCGTCATCAAAAACTACCAATAAATCGTTTTCTTTGTCTTCCAGGGCGATATTTTCTAGTAGATGTATAAGTTTATCCTCCTCTGTTTCTTCTGCCAAACTGTTGTCGGAAGAAATTTGTCGCATTATTGCTTGTGTCATTTCATCCGTGTTTTTGATATTTCGAAGATCTACCCAAATCACTTTCCATGTAATTCTTTTACAAAACTCTCTCACTAAGGCAGTCTTTCCAACTCCTCTTATTCCATGTACGTCTACTACAATGCTTTTTTGGAACCTTTCCTTCAGGTCCTCCAACTGCCGCTGTCTTCCCTTAAACAGATCCATGATGTTTACTTTTGGTATTAAAACCGGGTTTTCCTGAATCTATTTTAAGAACAAGGAATAATATGTTCGATAAGTAAAGGACATTATAAAGATTAAATGTCGGGCTATTACAGAGTTGTTGTACTTAAGAATTGTGCTTTCTGTAAATTTGATATTTATTATAAATTAAACATATGCATGAAATTAAAATATCCTTTATACCAAGCTCTGAATAGGTAATTTTTCAAAAGCATATATGTTCCAGCGTAGCAAATGGGAAAAAATCGTGCATGAGATTTGATCTGTTAAGAAACCATAGATACCACGATATGCATGATGTATCTTCAAACTTGAGAAATCAAACGAATTTTGAATGTAGACTTGAATTGATAACTGTATTTTATATTTTCAATTAAAAAAAAAAAACTCTAGGCACATAATCAAACATGCTCCACATTTTTAATCATTTTTTTTTTCTTTTTTGCATACTCAACACTTTCAAACACATAAATATGGAATTTGAAACTTTTTGATCCAGCTCCACTCCTCCCTACACCTACCTTAGGTCTGAAAGCTGATTGCTTCGGTCCTTTGTTCGTACACCTCCTAAAAGTCTAAAGTTTATGCCTTTGCTCCTTTCTACACGTATATTAGGACTATAGCCTGGTGGCTCCGCCCCTTTCTACTCTTCCTATAGGTCTAAAGGCTGATTGCCCCTCTCTTTTCCACCACTACTCTATGAATATAAGATGAATACACAGTGTTCAAAAAACTATGGACAGGGATATCTAGTTAAATACATACTTTATCAAAAATTAACAAACATATTGATGAAATATCAATGCAAGATAAAAATCAATTGTTAATCTTATCAGAAACAATTGTCAAAATTAACTATAATAGACTAAATATTCAATGCTGTATTATCAAATGAAGGTTAGAATATCAGTAACATGAAAAAGGTGAAGATAACGAACAATGGTCGATCTGAAATATTTTTAAACTATACAAATGTTCAATAGCGCATTAAAATCAGAACCCCCCCCCCCCGGAAATTTCAGAGGTGGGATGCCTAGGAGGAGTAAGTATCCCCTGCCCCGTTCACCTGTCACACCCGTCGAGAGCCCTACGTATTGATCAGGTAGACCGAATAATCTGTAGTCAAATTGAGTATAAAACAATACGCAAGTTTCGAGATTATCTCCCTTGGTGCGCTCTTTCGTTACAGAGGGGAGTTTTGTTTTCGTGTAAACAGGCAGGGGGGACAGATATTTATATATATTGGGTACATTACATCATCGATGTGCCATGATAATTGATTCTCGTGTTGCGCTCTTCAACTCGAAAATTGCCGAATTAAAAGTAAAGGCGTCAATTTTCTCTACGAACGAAAATCGGGAAAAAAAGAAAATTAAAATCGGAACAAAAGAAAATATCAGTGGATAAGAACTTATCAAACGAGGGAAGAGATATGGATCTCTAATAAATACACACGCATGTGATTGATCAGTGAACGTCGGCATTCTGAATGACTATTTCCCTCATAATAACTTCAAAGAGCCCAATAACTTTTTAGAAAAGGTTTATAAAATCAAAAAAATATTTTTCTTACAGAGACTATGATGGTTATTTCGTTTTCACGTATCCTAATTGAAAGTAAATTTTGTAAATATATAAAGTAGAGCTTTATAAAACGATCAAAATGATCATTGCTTAGCATTATCATCTTTCTATAACATTAAATGAATTTTGAAAGCCATAGCCATCGTTCATATATTTATGCATGTTTGTATACATTAACAACCTGTCCCACTTCCGTGCTGATATGGATACTTTTTGCAAGTTCATCGTAGGAGAGTTACAATCTCGAATCTCGCGTATTGCCTCAAGAGATTTGAAACATATCAGTCAAAATACAACCCAATGCTAGGTTGTATTTGCATTGAAGGTCATTTCAATGATCATTGAATTTTTCAAATGCTGACTTTAAACGACGTTGTTGAAATCCCTGTAACATAAACTCATTTGTCAGTAGCCTGTCATGGTTTATTAATTGATCGTAATTCAAGCATAGGGCGGGAGACATAAATGCCACATACAGGTGATAGTTGACGATGAAAAAGCTGAAGTCCTCGTTTATCACAAGATTTTGTTGCTAATTGGCCCTAATCCTCTACAGTCAGTTAAATATCCAAATATGAAACAGATTGACGTACGCTAGGGTGTCTTTTATTTCGATTTTGAGTTTGTGTACCTATTGTTAATTGATAAAATGTCGTCGAAATAATAAAATGTCAAGTCGAAAGCAACATCAAGAGTTTTCGTCTTCTCGTGTAGAAGTTTTTGAATAATTGTGCTTCATATGAACAAAAAAAGGTCAGCTGATAATGGAGGTAAAATAGGTGCCCATTGAAATTATAAAGATTATTGGAAGACCTACTCTCCAAAGTGTACATAGATGTTGTTAATGATAAACTCCAGCATCATTTTACGAGATTAGGAAATTATTGAGATATTTACTATTACTCCATAAAGGACAGAGATAAATTCATGAAAATTCGTCAACATTTTATTAAGAACTAATAAAACAAATGTGCATAATTTCTAATTCAGAAGATTATTAATCAAGTTCCAGTGAAATTATACACATGCATATGTCTATTTTTCTGGAGCAGCACTGCTACGTCATTTTAACGTCACGTTAGCCGGAGAATATGAAACGATCAGGAATGCCTCTTTTCTTAAACGATTCTTTAAAAAAAATAAAATAAAATAAAAATGTGTGCTGTTGCTACCCTTGTGTAAATATTATTTTTAACAAAGTAATTTTGTATATGATAATTCTAAAGATATGAAAATTCTGAGTTCTATTTCACTAAAGAAGCAATTGTCTATGCTTTCAAAAAGCCTAGTACATGTATATATTTGATTTATCGTGGGGAATAATTGTATTAAGTGTATAAAAGTCGTACATTCTAATGTGACTGACTCTTGAAAAAAAAAATGTCATTTTAAATTTTCTTAAAGTTCTTTTGAGTTTTTGAGATCCACATTTGATTGACCAAATCTAGAATATGATATTACAGTCAGTCTTAAGTTTCTCCTTCAAAACAGTTAATATGTTTGTAAGGAGAATAGATAGCGGCATAGTAGAGCATTTGATTGACCCTGCAATGTTTCTTTGTTTTATGGATTTTTATGAAGTTTAGGAGCCCAGTATTGGTAGGGTAAATCGAACTCACTTTGGTTGCCTGGAATATTAAAAGCAAGAAGACTGAAAATGATTTTGAAGAATTTCATTCTTAGAAAGTGAAGTGTGTGTATAAGTTGGATTTCCAGATGTAAAATTAAAACCAAGTTCTTCTAAAATACAGTTATAATAATGAACCTTACAAAGACGATTTTAGTATAAACCTCGTCAGCTGGAACCGAAACACATTGTTAGTGTAGTCTCTGTAAGTCTTTGATCACTTCCAGCTTAGAGAAAACGGAAGGATAGATGCATTTGGTCTTTTTACTTTCTAACACACGATTCTTTAAATATATTTTAATACCATTTAAACCATTCTGACAAAATTTGTCCTTCATATTTCACTCACAGTCAGGCATAATTCTCTATAGAATTCATGATAGAAATGTCTCCAATTGAAAAATCGGGGCTCTAGATCTGTATTTAGGATTTTGGTTTTAAATAATTGCCTTCAGGTCGTCATTTTCAACTATATTTTCATCACCTGTAACCAGCGGGCCTATAGTTGAAAGATAATCACAAACAGAAGTGTGTAATCTGCATTTAAAGAATCAAAGTATAAACGTCTTTTATCTTCTTCAAATAGTCTATTCAAAAATCTCAAGGTGTCTGAGAAAATTTTAGTGCGGATATGATGAAGACGTATTTTTGATTGTACTGACGTAAGGTAAAAGTGAATCAAAGGCAACATCATGTGTATTTGGTTTATTGCATGATCGATGTCCATGACTACGCCTACCTCTTGGTGTATCGTTAAACAGTTTTATCACATACATAGTGGCACATCTTGGGTTTGAAATATTCCCAATATTATTAATATGTTTTTTACAACCATATGAAAACACAGTGACTGTTTTTCTGATCCAGTATTTCTCTACCTGAAAAACTATACTCATTCCATGCATATACTTACCGGTATATCATATCAGCAAACTAATCTAGTATCATACCATTTAGAACTAATTCAGTTGCTAAAAAAGATCTTGTCCTTCGTTGTATGTCAAGACATACATTCCAATTACTTTTAATTCAGATTGAAAGAGGAAATAAAATTATCTAATTAAAAAAATCACTTAATCAAAAATTCACATTCCATGATATATTTACAATACTCTGAAGTCCTCTGTCTATGATCTTCTCACAGTGGTCTTTGGACTTAGAAAGTCGTTTATAATCATTTACTGATCGAATGAAATAGACATGATTTAACATATTATTTTTTGGACTATGGACATTTGTACATAGGGTCATTATTCGTTGCTCTACCACATCGTCAAAAGCTTCCATAGTCTTGTTTTGCACTGCATAGACTTACTTTTAATTTCCTGGTAAGTTCTCATCTGATTGTCAATTTAATCTTGACATAACATACTATTATGGCATAATGATCATCATAATCTTAATATCTCCTATCAGAGCATTCAAATTCATATCATACCACCACATGCATATGATTTAAAAATAAGTAAATGATCGTAACACCTATCATTTATTTTATATTTAAATTAATCCATTTAAATACTCTCTATAAAAACATAGAATGATAATTACTATACTCCTGACAAAAAATGCGTGAACATTTTAGTACACGTAATCATAAGTCTCTATGAATATATATTTATCAGAATTATTGTTCTTTAATTTTCATGCTTATATATAGAAGCACCACACAAATAATTCTCAGTGAACAAAATGATACAACAATTAATCTATTATTAGCGAAGTCCTTAATTGGCATTTCACCACCTAATTGTGTTAACATTTCAGCATA